GGGGGGTGCATAAAATCCCTTCACTATATTGATTTGAAATATAAGAGAAGTACTGGTAAATTGAAAATTACAAATGAGTAAAGTGTGTATAGTATGAACCGTGCCTCTACTTATAACAAGTAACCGTTGCTATCAAGATCACGGCAAACCTCGGGGACTAAGTTAGGTTATTTGGTAAATCAATGATAGACTGGCTGAACTAAAGGTGGTCATATAACTATCAAAGATGACGATCACATCTTAATCATAAACATATTTCTTTCAAAAGTTATTAATGAATAACCCTATAAACACAAAACAAAATATAATTGCATTCCATTGGATTACAAACAGAGCCGATTCATCAGTCCCAACACTTGGTGTAAAAATTTAAAAACAAAAATTATATGATTATGAAATGTTCTACTCGACAAAGGCTAACGATAGAAATTGTCTATTCAGGATACCACATCACCTGACACAAGTATGGGGTACGTAACAGTACATTACTGCAGGGACGAAACAGCTGTACGATGCAGTGTCACTCATTTTTGGTTTACGTTATATATCACCAAATCTTGAAAAGTGTAAACACCTGTGTGTGTTTGTTAGGGTTAGGGTTAGGGCTACGTTCATATACAGTACTTAATGCTAAAAATATAGGGTTAGGGTTAGGGCTACGTTCATATACAGTACTAAATGCTAAAAATATAGGGTTAGGGTTAGGGCTACGTTCATATACAGTACTTAATGCTAAAAATATAGGGTTAGGGTTAGGGCTACGTTAATATACAGTACTTAATGCTAAAAATAAAGATCAATCCTTAACATCGGCACAAGATTTTTGTTGAACATTTTTAACTTTTCTCTTATCAGCGGATTATATATACAGTTTTATCTAATCTGAATATAATGATTTTAAAAGGATAAATCCGATTTTGGCGGGATAAAAGACTGTTGTTTTATAACACTTAATGCATCATTCGTGAATCAAATAAGAATTCCTGTACCATGAAGTAGAATTGCAAAAACCATCATAGGCCTGCATCGTTATATCGTACCGTACCGTGTCGTGATACTTAGGTGTGTTAGGTTTCTAAATGTTTTGTATGCCTGCATTGCGATACCATAATAGTACTGAAAGTCTTTTTTATTAAACTCCATGAGTTTACTTATTGTTTTGGAATCCTTCAAAACGTTGTACACAGTGCAGTCAGTCGTACCAGAAAGTAAAAAAAAATCATACAAAATACATTTTGACAGTATTCATCAATTATGTCTACGTCAAAACTCTGCAAAATATTTCACTCAAAATTATGTAGTTTACTTTTTGAGCAGTCACTTGTATTGTGATACGTATCGTGTTGTAAGCATTGTACAGTAATACGTATAGTATTGAAAACATCGTATTGTGATACGTATCGTATCGTATTGTAGGCATCATACCGTGACATGTATTGTTAGCATTGTACCATGACACGTATCGTATCGTAAGCGACGTACTGTGATACGTAACGTATCGTATGATAGCGTCATACCGCGATATGTATCGGATCATAAGCGTCGTACCGCGATATGTATCGGAGCCTAAGCGTCGTATCGCGATACATATAGCATCGGTAGGTATCGCGTATCGTTGCAGCCCTAATATACAAGTTTGCACTTCATCATAAACATATCATACCTGCATAAAGACGGCGATTTGGTCTTTATTGTTTCTGACAGCTTTCAGCTCAAAGTGGAATCCGTGGAGAGAAAACACTTCGGAGTGGTAGTGCGGCTCCTGTAATGAAAAACGTACAACAGTGCCAAACAGAAATCATAAGCGTCCTTTCAAAACTAGCATTAACATAGGACTATTTCAAAAGAGAATGTTACGTGTCTTCCAAACGAATATAGACTCTATAGCTGTGAGTTTGTACTAGAAATTGAAGAAAATGTGATTATAATAACTATAATTACTGGTAGTACTGTTTAATATGTATGTTGAAATATCTTTAGAAATTGAATACATAATATGTACGTGATTTTGTTTGTCCATTCTAACTATTAATCAAGTGGGTCTTTTAACAGTATCAGATTTCTTTAGAAATTATTATGTTTTTGATTTTGATTTTGATACCAAATATCCATGTTTCATCCTGTTTTTCCAGGGGAATCCAGTTACAGAACCCCTTCTTCAGTGTTTGGACAACACCTGCTGGCAAAAATCTGGCTTTATCCTTGCATTTCTGTCAGAGATGTCTAAAGAAGTATCTCCCTTGTATAACCAAAAACCATTTTAAGAGCATTCTTTACCTCCATATGTGAACTTTCTTCATGGCATTCAGACTTAACTGATGCGTTGTGTATCTCACTGGAAATTATCATAATTTGGATCATTTCTTTTTTTTTATCAAGAGAACATCTGATTTGCTTCCTAGCTTACATTGTTTAGGGGAAAAAATATGTTTACTGCAGTTGCCGCAATTTTAGGTGTCCTTGGAGGTGGCATTAATGTTTTTGGGTTTTTTATGATAAAAAATCAAATGGAAAATTCTTCTTGCTTGTGAATAAACGAATAAAGACTGCTAGATCGCTCGTCTATTGACAGTGTGGAACAGAACGTAAGTTTCCTTTCGTAGCTTTAAATGGCTATAAACATAAATTATAACTGCACCTAAACCAACGACCCTTCAGATATCGACATTAGTTGAATCGTTAACAGTCTCAATTCTGTGTGTTATATTCCTTTTGATAGTTTTTTTAATTCGTTTTTAATTACAACACGGTTTAATCCTCAGAAAAGTCGATGAAATGTCAAGTGGAAAGTAGTTCACATTACCGTTTAAGATACGAACGTTCAAGGTAACTTTAACTTTACTTTCATAAGTGAAAGTTAAAAAGTGAAGATTGATGAAAGCGTCATCTTCCCTTTTAACAACATGTCTTTGTGAACGAAATGCTGGCTCATCACATATAGACACAAACTAGCGATGTATTGCCCCATGTTTCAACAATGCATCATACGAAACGTAATTATTTAGTTATATAATTCACTACCACACCTTCTACGGTAACGCTATCCGTGCTCAAAAAGGAACTAAGCAGTCTTGTGATGATTACTTGTGTATCTTTGATCATCGAACTGTTGGTTTTTACGTATTGCATACCGTATATGGTTATATTTCAGGTTGTTTCTTGTGTTAATTAACACAAACACGTGCCATGCTGTCGTTCTGTTATTCTGTGACACGTAACTCCGCATCGGAGCTGTCATAGACGGGTATTTTTTACTTCCATACATTGTCAGATGTGCCCAAAAGACGTTAATTTCTCTCTCCTTTCAGAAAACCACGGCGGTATTAGTTAATGAGTAACTGTGTATGGAGACATTACTCAGCTACTGAAGAAGAATGTCGCCGAGTGCATACAAGAAAAATGATTATTACGCCAAGATTGTGGGAAACAGAACTTCTCATAGACTGTAATAAATAAACGTTAAAGTAATTGAACAGAGTCATTATCAGTATAATATTTTCTTTTGCGAGATTTAACTCACAACGTTTGCTTTTATTAGACAAGTTGGTTAGAAAAGAAGAAACCATCTGGAAGCGGACATACAGGTAGTGTGTTTAGTCCATGCAAGCTAACCATGTCTTCGAACTTGCTTACGCGACAGTAGTGCTAATAAGCCAGCACTACGGCTCATTTCCCCTATGAATGAGATTGATATGGGTATTAACTCATCCAACCCTGAAGACTCATTTGAACTCTTCCAAAACAAAGGTTGGAATAGTTCATTATACAAATTCCAGGGGTGAATGAGTTAAGCAATTAACATACATGTTCGTTAGTTGGTACAAGCCTGCAGAACAAAGTTAGATAATAGGGACGTTTTACCCATACATACGTTTACTGGACACGAATTCAGAATATAACAAGAGGCCCACCTGGTTATTTAAGCAATCATGGCACAATATTTACATTTGCTCTGTAATGCCAATTTGTAACCACTTCAGACATGTAGGGTAAGACTTGGAAGCGTTACTATGGAGACTTTATAATTCATAAATAATTAAGGTTGTTACTATTACTAGCACATTAGTTGGGTTGGAGATAAAAAGTATGTGATGGCTGTTCATTTGTCGAATTATCTATATAAACAATACAAAACTTTACCCCCTCCCCAAAGGCAAACGAGGAACGTGGGGCACATGAAAACCACAAAGTATATAAACCACTCTAAGGCCTTTACAACTGTGAGTAGTATTTGATACTAGCATTTCTGGAACTGCAGAAGAAGATTTTTGAAATTCGCCTCCTTTTTCACCCAAAACCCAGCCCCCTAGGGGGTCAGGGTCACAATAATTATACCAGCAGACCTTCCTCCCAAAACAAGTATTTCTGTCAAATATGAGCAAACTCCATTCAAAACATTGGAAGATATGGCCTATTATGTATATTTCCTATATAAGGTAGCAGTGTACAGAATGGCCCGACTCTGATAAACAAGGCACATGTCGAGGAAATGTAAACACAGCGGATTTACCCTACACAACACATGTATACATGTATATATATTTGTAAACTGCATTAGATTTACAATACATATAAAGTACTGAGAAGTGTATAAACCTCTTTTTTCTATGTATGTCACTTGTGTGAAAACCATGGTTACCACATCAAAAATTACCAAATAATGCCAAAAAATGCTATTTTGACCCAAAATTTGACCCCCGCAACTAGTAATTTTACCTACCTGGTTGCAGAATTAGCTGGGTCCCATTAAAGTTGTAAAACTTCATTTTTTGCAATTTTGCGTCGTGTGCTGTTGTCAAAATTTTACCTCCTGTAAAGCTAGCTTTTCACCCTTTTGGATTATGGCCAAAATTTTATTCTCGAACCAAAAAAATCTTCTTTTTTTAACAAATGTGAAGCTCACATAGCCCACTTCATCATGCTTATACTAATTTTAGTACAGTTTTATTTTTATAATTCTTTTACATATCATTATACAGGGGTTAGCCATTTAACAAAAATATCACCCATGGCCACAACCCTCTACTGTATACTGCTACCTAAACTATACTAAATTTCACCCCTCACCAGGGGCAAAAGAGGGGCCTGGTAAACATGAAAATCACCGATTTAAATAAACCACCCAAACGCTTTTACAGCTATGGGTAGTATTTGATTCTAGCATTTCTAGAACGGGAGAAGAAGATTTTTGAAATTTCCCTAAATCCCCCCCCCCCCCCTTTTCGGACCCTAACTTAGCCCACTAGGGGGGCAGGCTCATACGATTTATACCAGTAGACCCTCCTCCCCTAATAAGTTTTTCTCTCAAATATGAACAAATTATTTTTAAAACAATGGAAGATATGGCCCGTCATGTCTGTTTCCTATATAAACTATACTAAATTTTACCCCCTCCTCAGGGGCAAACGGGGTACCTGAGAGACATGAAAACCACAAATTGTATAACTCACCCAAAGGCCTTTACAGCTATGAGTAGTATTTGATTCTAGCATTTCTAGAACTGGAGAAGAAGATTTTTGATTTTTTTTTGAAATTTCCCTAAATTCCCCCCCCTTTTCGGCCCCAAACTCAGCCCCCTAGGGGGCCACATCCTTATTTCATAAATCCATTGACCCCCTGGTCCTTTCGGAAAGGTGAGCTAAAAATGCTGCAACTTCGAACGTAGGAACAACGCGTGGCAATTGTGTTATATAATAGACCGTTTATCTCTAATCTCCCTCTTCAATCTTACATGGCATATCAATCTAGAAAGAAAGCTTAGTTCTAAAACGTATTTATCACGATACAAATGTATCGATAAAGACACAGGCAAGCCTTATCGAGAATCTGTCTGGAGTACAACTTTAGCTAGGTGTATTATCAAAACAAAATAGATACGCAGCAGAAATTATTTGTTTGATTCTCCTTTCCTAAACATCATTACAAACAGCATCATTGCATGTAGGAAAAAGATATTTCTCATTTATCAAAACATGATAAACATCTTATTTCGTGACTTCTGTATTTGTAGAGGCATGTGTCCGAAGTTCATGTAAACATTCATTTGTTATCATAGTCAGGAGCTTTAGCCCAACAGCTTAACTTCGGATATTCAACTAACTCTTTGCTATATATATATCGATCATATCTGTGAGGTTGATCTTTCGAAATACGCAGATAAGTTCGTTAAATTCAGTATATATACAAATATCACTTTTTTCAAACTTTCTTTTAAGGGATTAAGATTAAGCCGTTTGCAAACAATCACTCCATGCCCCAATTGCAGATATAGTGTTTTATACCAATAATAACTATACGAAAAAATGGTTTTATTCTCTGTAGCCAAATGCATTTATTATAGGGAGCCATGAACGCATTATCTGTCCAGTCAATATGTATATGTACTGACTACGTTAAGGGTATTTGTAATAAACAACGTGATGGATGCACACTGTACTGCAGTGCGTGCACTACAGACTAGATTGTCATACTTTAACCCGACAGAATAAATGGATCACCAAACAATATAAAATGCACATCATTCTATTTAGACAACTAATAAAACGTCTATGTCAGTTCGCCTGCCGCTTTTCAAAGATATTGGACAGACAGCACAAATTGTATTAAATCAGTTGTTTTTTGTTTTTGTCCTTTTATCCTTTTCTATCTATTTAAGAGAGTCTTTATTGGAAAGTATAAAGTGTTTGGAAGTATCGTTTGATTAGAGGATATCTTCACATTGAATATGTAGGTAAAGCTCAAAATGGCATTATATATGTCATTTTGAGATAAATGGGAAAAGATTTGACGAAAAAAATAAAATGCAAAACATTTTTTTTTTTTTTTGAGGATATAGTGCAAGAGGCATCAGAAAAGATGTTCACTGAGTTAATACTTACATCATCCACTACAAAGCCTTGTCGAATGGCCCCTGTGGTGAAATGTCGGAGAGCAGCCATGTCCCCGCCACCTTGCAACTTCAATATAAAAGCATGACAGGATTTTAAGGGAAGACTCAGAAAAACATCTCAAACTAAAGGAAGTTTACAATAAGGTCAACGATACCGAATCAAAACTTAAAACGAGGCTAGATCGATAATGAGAAAGTAAACGGTCCTGGAAATCACAGGTTTAGGCGATGCGATCAAATTACAAAGCCATGTATTATTTTAGGGTCCCAATGAACTTATCAGAGTTGACCCGACAAAACAATTAATTGCATGATCGTCGACATTCTGGATAGACCGTGGAATCTTAAGCTCTGCATAAAGTACAATGCATCTGTACTATTTAATTTGTAATTCCCTAATTTTGTTTTGTAATTAAAATCTGTTTTTTATTTTATCGATTGCCTCGAACACACTTCATGACCTCGTGAAGCACTGGTGATAGAATTGATACGAATTCTTTGAATCCGAATACAAGAATTTATATTAATCAAGAGAGAAAAAGATTTTAATTGAATATCCCACGTTTATGCATTCCGCTGTCCGATGGAATTGCGAATTGAATTATATATATTGCTATATTTTTTCTACACTGACAAGTTCTATCATGACATCTGAGCACATTTCAGCTACGAAGTTAAGATAATATAGCAATGTACCTAAGTAAAGTAGCAAATGGGAAATAATTTGACAGAGAAGACTGCATTCGTTGACGTTGTTTAAAGATTTCAACATCACGTGAAGAAACTTCCAACAGAAAAAAAATCCAGATATTTCAACCCTCCCAAACCCTTACGAATTACAAAAAGGGTGATCAGTTCAAAGTATGAAGGGTGAACCTGTTGATATGACAAATATATAATTAACAAAAACAAAAAAATTAAATGTCAATCTTATTTACCTGAGACTAGACAAATCACATTACATACTTTACTGATTGGAGATTTCAATTGAATTTTGCAAAGAACCGAATAACAAGCCTATATACATCAATTTATACTTTAATAATATCCATGTTTCGCACTACTGTCTTTCTAAAGCATTACACAAAAATTACTAAGTGTATTTGTATTCAACTTTGAAAACATGAAAGATTGTGTTCCTATCAGGTGATTATATGGGTTTAAAAAATACCAGTTTGGGAACTGAAATGATCGCTTTACACTAAAAACAGTGGTAACCTCTAGCATTTAGCACAGAAGTCACCGTAATTGGGAGCGACGTTCGGATTCCATGCAGGTTGACAACACTTTCAGTTCATTCTTAGAAGTATTTCAATTCAATTTGACATATCCCTAATGCAAAAAAACATGCTACCACTTAAATTGCGAAACCTTTTTAAATATTTTGATAGGTAAAGATATGGCTTGCTGCATGAATAAAAAGGAAATTAAAACAAGAAAGTTATTCAGAGAGTCACTATGAAAAAGAAACGAAAAGCCAAACGGGCCTTAATGAAAAGATTAATTACTACGATTTTAAGTCAATAATTACAAATGAAGCAGTGGAAAAAGATTCAGCAACTAAAAGACCAGCGATGCTATGTTGCATTCTTAGATTGGCTCGAAAGATAAGAAAACGTCATTGGAAGTTACAGGTCAGATAATAAGAAAATATCATTAAATACTTATCAGCAAGGACAACGCTTTACAATAGTTCCAGACTGTTGTAGATTCTTACCTAACATATATTTGTCTATAAAATGTATAGCACAAATGTAATAGGCAAAATACCTTTGATATCGCAAAAATAATTAAACAATTTTATGAGGAGTAAAAAAAAAATATCAAAAACAATAACGATGATGAAACCAGAGGTACAGGAGGGATACAAATTTTCTGGTCGAAAAGGACTTTCTCAAGTCACAGTCAGGAAAATATTATTGTCCCTTGTAATTTCGCTGACGTAACCCCGAATCACGCTTGGACGACGTGACATTAATTGGATCAGACCTGGATTTCAGATGCCATGTCGTCGATGAAGAAGATTTCTGTTGCAGAACAACTGGTCTTAGATATCTTGTAGTCATTTTTTATTATTTTCATGTGATTTCACATTTTTTTTAAATTTATTTCCTCGATTTTGAGTTCAAACTACGCTATTGTTGTCGCTTTCCTATTTTCTTTTTTTATGAAAGCATATCTCCAGAGAATATTAAAATCTCTAGATAGTGAGAATTATTATGGAGGAACAAATGAGATGTGACACACAATATTCCGTGAGCATGCCTAGGCAAGCCTTTATGTTAAACTTTCGAAGAAATATTAACAAAAATTCAACTCAAGTAGACATATTTGTTATTGCTTGTTAGTGGGATAACCATGTTATATGAACCTTAAGACACACTATGTTAGGCCTTCTATTTCAATTTATAGTGGACAAATGGTTGTTACAGAAATTCTTGTTCCTTCAAACAAAGTTGTTTCCATCTATCCTTTTCAGGCAGTAAAGTATTTTGCACACCAAAATCAAACCTTTCCTCAGAGCTCGCACAATGTCTGTCGTAGCTAAAGTCCAACTATCTCCTAATCGCCGGCCGAACGTCTGATGTGTCTCTCGTTCTAACAAACTCCCTATGATTTGTTGAAACTGTATTGTAGTTTCGTTCAAAGTATACTGAAGTTAAAAAGTTCCAACAATCTCTTACTCGCTTGTCAAACGTCCATTGTAGTTATAGTTAAAAACAATCTCACTATTGCTCCTCCAAACCCTGTTGTAGTTATCATACCGACAATCCTCTCTTCATTCGCCCGAATGACTGTTGTACAACTTAATCATTATTTAATAATTCCAACTATATTTGTACATTGAGCAAACGACCATGATTCCTAGCGTGGAGTAGCAAGAGGGGATGCTGCTGCTCTGACACAACCAAAATATAGAGGCATAACCTTCTAAATCATAATTGCAAGTCAATTACAAGTAGCAAATAGAAACTTCTGTTTTTCTTATATCTTACACAGGTTTCCATTATAAAAATCATATTATTATGATTTAATCAAGTAGTCATCTGTCCAATAATCGTCTGCAACCACGCCTTTTGAAATTGGAAATTCGAGTATTATACTTGATTTTATAACAGATGATATGGAAATATCCACGAGGCTAGTGAAGATATAGACATGGTCTATAAGCGTCATTATTTGAAAGAGTACGTCATAATAGTAAATTAAACTGCCACATATTTTGTGCAGAATTATTCCTCTTGAAATTCAATAACATTTATAAGGATTTGACAACATAATAAATCGTTCTGTGGATATATTGACCAATTTTCGTCTAGTCAAATCCTTTATCACAAATTAAATTGCCGAGGACTTGCGTCATGATGCTATGAAAGTTCTGGCTGTTAATCTTGTTTTTCCGTAGCCTCTCTTTTTTTCTCATGCTCTGTGTAAACGTATATTCTGCCAAATGGTATCCACATTTAGACAATACTACATTTACACAGATCCTGGCCTTCACAGCCTTTGCAGTGTTGTTGAGTGCTCCATATAGCTTTCGATCCTCCCAAAAGTATATTTCAAACGCTACTGAAAGACACTAACAAAGTTTATTTTAAGCAATGGCTTAGATAAAATGTGTTGCAAAACTAATAATAATATACCTTCATAATTTCTATTTGTATTCTGGGCGTGATTTTATGATTATTAGACTGGCTAACAGAAGCATTACAGTTTCACATATAGAAACATTTGTTTAAATCAATTAAGAAAAAAAATCAATAACCACATTTCAAATTTTAAGTGGAAGATACGAATCAAATTTATTCTGAAATGTACTTAATCAAACCGGCAAAGGCAATACGATCAGTTCTTTTAGACACGACTCCAGCTTAATACAGCGAAGATAAGTTCCAAGATGAATATCTATTGCACCAACTCGTTTTAATCTACAATTTACTCCTGGTTAAGCAACCAATGCAGGTCACGTCTATAGGGAGCGTAATTTTTTTCAATAAATTCTTGTCTGCAATTTCCCTTCGGTTTTACTTCCGTTTGTTCCGTATGCTCTATGAACTCGTAAATCTTACTACAGATTTCTTCCTTGTAGCCTTTCAGAAAAAAATGTCCTGAACTCAGAATCTGATCTAAATTTGTCAACCAATATATATGTCAAACATTTTCTATCGGTAATTTCATCTGCATTTCAAGAAATTGCAAACTATCAATTATAAGTGAAGTGGCTATTTTTCACAACATGACAGAGAATGTTGGGACAAACAAATCAAATGTGGGATTTTAATTACGCGATAATCAAAGTTCAAGAAATAATACAGAAAAAAAATAAACATGCAAAGACTAGAAAAAAGAGGGGTAAATGAACCTTAGCATCAGCACATATAACAAAACTGAAACTTCAAGTAAAAGATCAGAGACACAAAACGAAAGGGAAAACGTCAGTCACCCTTACAAAAGTGATATTTTAGGAAGGAAAACATTTCATGCACAGCATCTGTCAAATGTCAAAATGTTTCCTTTACAAATTTCAAATCTACTTTTTTTAGTTATAACATAAAAATCATCATTTTTGTCTACCCTAATACTTATCCATCAACAAAAGGGGTATTATCCAGCTAGAATACCTGTTTTAATATTCGTTCCGTATCGCCATCAAGAAGGAGCTTGGGTAGCCGTATACAGTAGAAATGGCCTGACTCTGATAAACAAGGCACATGTCGAGGAAATGTAAACACAGCGGATTTACCCTACACAACACATGTATATATGTATATATATTTGTAAACTGCATTACATTTACAATACATATAAAGTACTGAGAAGTGTATAAATCTCTTTTTTCTATGTATGTCACTTGTGTGAAAACCATGGTTACCACATCAAAAATTACAAAAAAATGCCAAAAATTGCTATTTTAAACCCAAAATTTGAGCCCCGCAATTAGTTTTTTTTTTCCTAAGTTCTGTCTGAAATTAAAGATTATTTATCTGGTTGCAGAATTATCTGGGCCCCAGTAAAGTTGTAAAACTTGATTTTTTGCAATTTTGCGTCTTGTGCTGTTGTCAAAATTTTACCTCCTGTAAAGCTAGCTTTTTATGTGTAGGCACCCTTTCGGATTATGCCAAAATTTTATTCTCGAATAAAAAAAATCTTTTTTTTTACAAATGTGAAGCTCACATAGCCCACTTCATCATGCTTATACCAATTTTAGTACAGCTTTATTTTTATATTTTTTTAACATATCATTATACAGGGGTTAGCCATTTAACAAAAATACCACCCATGGCCACAACCCTCTACTGTATACTGCTACCTTGTTCAAGTGTTGTGTATTATTATCAATTATTATTGTATTTTCGGGCCTTTTGGTACGCCACATTTTAAAGACGTCGCTTTTTAAAGTGTCCATACACCGATGCAAGGGGCATTTTTTAATTGTCTTTAAGAGCAGTATTAGATTTTCCAAACCATTTCTATGTTGTTGTTTTTTCACAATGTATACCAATTGCTTTTTATATCCTCCAAGCTAGCATTTCCATTGATATGAAATTACCAACATTTTTATTTTCACCTTTAGGGATTTCAAATGAAATACTCATTCAATAATCGATCATCTAACCTCATACAACAAGTCGGTGAACAGGGTCAGTGTTACACAGCACGAGACAGAAGAATAAGGTTAATGGAGAGTAGTGATCAATATATATTAAAGGATTCGTTGGGGAAATCTTACTTGTCCCTTTCGTTCAAATCAGGCATTTTTCAAAACATTACGGGAAGTCAGTACATATTTTCGAGAATATCTCTATCGTAAAGATTGTGTTTCTAATGAAAGTGTTTAACAAAACAATTATTTATTGATAAAAAAAAAAAAATGAATTCAATGGAAACATTGTTACGCAGATTATTAATAAAAGTATAAAGCTTCATTAAAATATCAAATCCATTGACAAAAATACCCAACAAGAAGTCTTCCTATTCTTGATCTGTTAGCTAGAGACTAATAATGCTTGATCGAGTCAGCTCCAAAGCGTTTTTAACCTGCGGCATTGAAATATTAACTCTCTGTAGAAACGAGAGACCTCACCAATCAATAAAAAGATGGAAATCATAAAAAAATCTAGAAAAAAAATCCTTGAAGGGAAAAGATTACAATTGTCAAAATAGCTTGCTTGTTTACTATGAGTGATTTCTTTCAAACTGAACTAGAACTGAAAGTTTTTTCATGAAATGATCGGTCCTGGTCGAAATTTCGTAATATTTGAAAAAAATCAGTGTCATAGATGCTGGCAAGGGAATAAAACAGTTTGCATGCGAGAAAGGAAATGTGCATGTCTTCATTGCCTTTCACCGGAACTACGGATTGTTTATGGACCAATATTTGACAGGCGTGACTGCATGGATGCGTGCATATATCATTTGTGTGACATGTGAGTCATTTCATTTCATAAACATTTTACAGATATTCCAATCGAATTGGAAAGGGCAACAGTTGAAGTCTTTAAAAACCCTTTCAAAGCATGTGAGACCCTTCGAAAAAATAAAAAGAGAAATGATATGTCGTGGCTTCGATATCATGTGTTAGTAGTTCACAGTTTGCAGTTTTCTTTGTTTTTCATTCCTTTTGCCATTTTAAATGGCCACATTTCCCATGTAAAAAATGGTTACATCATCATCTCTTGGGAAGAAAAGCGTTGCAAATTTATCATTCATAATTTTATCATCACTAACAATAATGAAATTGGACGACTGCTTCTGTATGGTGTCGAAGTAAATGAGACTGGATTTTGCTGAACAGAATCGGGAGAACATATTACAGAGAGTAAGAGATTTCGCTGCAGTATGCACGAGTCAAGGAGTAGACAGTGAGTGATATACCTACATCATGATTGTGTTGGGACAGGTTTATCAAACTCAACGATTACAGACAGTAAGTGATACACTTACTGAATAATAACTCCTTGTCAGGACCACATATTCCATTAAATATTGCAGTTGTGTGACAGGTCTATCGGTTTCAAAGATAACGAACTGAAATATAGTTGTGCTGTGGTAGTAGTTGAATCACAACCACGGCTTACAGGCAGTGAGTAATATTTTAACAGGATGGCTGTATGTCAGGGTCAAAGCTTACAGGCAGTGAGGAATATATTTACATGATGGCTGTGTGTCAGGGTCACAGCTTACAGACAGTGAGTAATATATTTACAGGATGGCTGTATGCCAGGGTCACAGCTTACAGGTTGTAAGGAATACATTTACAGGATGACTGCATGTCAGGGTCACAGCTTACAGGCAGTGAGGAATATATTTACAGGATGGCTGTATGTCAGGGTCACAGCTTGCAGGCAGTGAGTAATATATTAACAGGGTGGCTATATGTCAGGGTCACAGCTTACAGGTAGTAAGGAATATATTTACAGGATGACTGTATGTCAGTGTCACAGCTTACAGACATTGAGTGATATATTTACAGGATGGCTGTATGTCAGGGTCACAGCTTACAGGCAGTGAAGAATATATTTACAGGATGGCTGTTTGTCGGGGTCACAGTTTACAGGCAGTGAGGAATCTATTAACAGGATAGCTGTATGTCACAGTTACAGCTTACAGGCAGTGAAGAATATATTTACAGGATGGCTGTTTGTCGGGGTCACAGTTTACAGGCAGTGAGGAATCTATTAACAGGATGGCTGTATGTCAGGGTCGCAGCTTACAGGCAGTGAGTAATATATGAACAGGGTGGCTATATGTCAGGGTCACAGCTTATAGGCAGTGAGAAATATATTAACAGGATGGCTGTATGTCAGGGTAACATATTACAGGCAGTGACTGATGTATTAGTTTTCTCTATTTTGAGTCACATGGCTTTCCAATTTTTGTTAGCCATAATTATTTCTGGTCTATAATATTATTAGAACAAGTGAGGGAATATAAATATCAATGTGTTCTTGTATTGTAGATAGATGTTGACAATAACCTGGGAAAGTTTGATTTCTTGTCGGACATAAGTTTCTTTCAGTCCAAAGTCAAATAATAAAAACAAAAATGAAAAATGATTGTGTAGGTATTCTAGTAGTTCTTGTACTATGACCAATTAAAAGAGTTTCTGCATGTCACAATTTTCATCCTAAATACGCAATAAATTATTCAATGTTGTAACATTGATTAAGCTGAAATATAACATCAACCATGGTAATATAGAGTAGTCAAAAGTAAGGAAGGCTAAGAAAATTTCCAACAAAGAAACTTAGCATGAAACCAGATTCCAGAGATGGATAAATCGAAAGGTAGATAGTACAGTATGAAAGTAATGGGACCTTCGTTCTATCAGGGTCACAGATTACAGACAGTGTGGATATGCTCACTGCTTGGCAATGTGTTATGGTCACTGATTAACACAGTGACAGATAAACTTAAGGCATTGCAGTAAGTCAGGGTTACAGATTACACATAGTGATAGATACTCTTAAAGCATTGCGCTATGTCAGGGTTATATATTACACAAAGTGACTGAGAAACTCAGAGCATGGCAGTGTGTCATGATTACGGACAGTAACAGATGAAACAACTAACTTGGCATAATGTCAGGTTCACAGTTTACACAGTGACAGATAAACTGAAATCATGGCAGTATGTTAGGGTCACAGATTACACATAGTGACAGATCAATTTAAAGCATGGCATTATGTCACAGTCACAGATTACACACAGTGACAAATAAACCTAAAGCATAGTAGTATGTCAGAGTCACAGATTACACAAAGTGACAGATATATTTAAAGCACGACGATATGTCAGGGTCACAGATTACACAAAGTGACAGATAAATTTAAAGCTTGGCAGTATGTCAGAGTCACAGATTACACACAGTGACAAATAAAACTAAAGCATAGTAATATGTCAGTCAAAGATTACACAAAGTGACAGATAAATTTAAAGCATGGCAGTATGTCAGAGTCACAGAATACACACAGTGACAAATAAAACTAAAGCATAGTAATATGTCAGTCAAAGATTACACAAAGTGACAGATAAATCTAACGCATTGCAGTATGTCAGAGTCACAGATTACACAAAGTGACAGATAAATTTAAAGCATGGTGGTATGTCAGGGTCACAGATTACACAAAGTGACAGATATATTTAAAGCGTGGCAGTTTGTCAGGGACACAGATTACAGACAGTGATTGATATACTTACAGCATGGTAGTGTTGCGACAGAAGGTCTATCAGCGTAGACTGAGGTAAGACGTTCATTAACTGCATGTCCTGGATATTGTTGGCTGGAAAACAAACCATATTAGTCAGACATGACGTCATAATCAAAGTATGGTCAGCCATTCGCAAGGGAAACTAATCATTTAACCCTTTCAACACTATAGACCAAAATGGACTCATCCAGAACACTGCATCGTGGAGTCTGCTAAAGTTACATTAGGGATGAAAGGGTTAAACCAGAAATTCAATATACATTCAAAAACTGAAATAACATTTTGATCTTGGAGTCAAGAAGCAGTTTCATACCCTTATCCAATAAAATTAATCAAAAATATAAATAGCGAAATGAAATTTTTTTTTATCCTTATAAGCTAGATATACCCTTACACTAACGTAGATGTCCATCAATTTGAGGGGTAATTGACATTCAGAAATAGCATTGATTCCAGTCACCTGTCAGACATACAAGTGAAATATACAAACTGTGTCTGGCATTATCTAACCAATACCACTGCCAAAGCAATTTACACAAATTGAAAACGACATCCCTGTATAATGCAAAGGGCCAGGATTGAAATCAAACTAGATGTAAATGTGAAAATCCTTCAAGTTTCACCTCACTGACAAAATGATTGAAAATGCAGTAAACTTTGTTTTTGTAATAGTGTCTTATAAAACTCAATCTAAAGTCTGGCTCTACATTAGACGTGGTCAATATATATATATAAAAAAAAAAAAAACAGCTCTTTCAAAATTCCTAACATAGCAAAATATAGGCAACTTGAATTTGAAAAAAAAAAATGTGAGTAGAAATATTGCTTTTACAAAACTTCAAATGTGACAATTCAAAAATTCACCCATTTTGTCCAAAATTCATTATGGTAAAGAACGATATCAAGTTAAATTATATCAAATCAAAATTTTCACTATTATGAAAGCTGTCTTTTTTAAAGAATTACGTTTGGTTTCTTTTTTTTAATTTGTATATTTGAAAAGAAAATATAAAACTAAACAAAACATGCAGGGGTTGCACTAGGTACCAATCCACTGATAGTCCTACACTTGATGAATGTTAGTATACAGGAACTTTAAATGCACAGAATCAAAATGAGGGATGAAATACCTTGAAAAATGGAAGTAACTCTAAGCATCTGAAAAACTCAAATTCTTTTGCTTCATCTACACAGAAGGGAAAATGTGTCATTTTGTCAAAAAAATGTTATGCTAAAGAATAATATCAAGTTAAAATTATACCAAATCAAAACTATCATGATTTTTTCACCAGGTAAAAACAAACTGCTCCAAAGTGGAACTCTTCTTCATGAAGATAACTGGTGCAAGTGGTAGTCCCTTTACCCTTAAGTGTTTCATGTTTACAAGACATTTCTTGCTTTGGGAAAATGTACAACTTCATTCCAAACAAAAAATTGGTATTAGCAAACCGTGTTTTCAGCTCATGGAAGAAGAAAAATAAATAAAAATCACCAATTTCCCTTAGATATGAGAATGTTAAGATGGATGTACTTTACGTAATGTAGGTCTCCCAGCATGCCCGTTTCTCTGGAAACTTTATAATCCAACAGACAAAATACACAGAGCTAAGGTACCTACGTACTTCACATTACATAACAAGCAGGCCTCATATTGCCAGTTACATTTTGTTTTAATTCAATTTTGCTTTCTTCAAAAATGCAACAGAATTACTTTGCATAGTCAAATCAGGTTTTATAAGAAAAAGTCATAATTGTATTTCATATAGCTGACTTTGAAGTTTCTATGTACTTTATTGGAAAGTTTAGTTAATTCCAAGCAGTGCACTTCACTACATTTAAATAAAATATCAAAGACAATGTTTCATTTGTAAGGAAATTTAATTTGGTTTATATCATCTCCGTATCATTTGAACACTTCTGTCTTTACTTTAAGTAATGAGTCTTTCCTCTTTCTCGAACATAAGGACTGCAGAAAAACTAAATCTGATTAGAATCTGAAAAGGTCCTGCCTATCATCTTCTCGTGTAAGAGACAGGAAAGGGTCCGTCTTAAGAGGCTATCTAACAGACAGCTTTATACAGTGGAGTATTGTAAGCATTGATTTGGTTCAGAAAAATTAACCAGGAAAAACAATTCAAAGGCACTGCATGTACAGATCAATAACATATTTATTTGGTAAAAAAAAGAAGAGAAAACACCTGTAAGATATAAACGCCATCTAAAATAGCAATGACTGACCACAAATGGCAACAGGGACCTTGTTATTGACCTTTGGACTCTGATTGCAAACTCGTTAAAGTGTTCTCATGTTTGATCTTTCTATAAACTTTAAAGAAAACAAGAATTCCACGGGAGTGGATGTGTCACCTGCTCAGCGCTTTGAGTAAGAAAAGTGTTTTGGCCTGTACAAAATTTGAAAGGAATTGATTAGAAAATAAAAAAGGTTCTTGCATTTATTACATAATGCCCTTATTTGGCAACAAGCAAGACCAGCATCGCCTCATTGGTATTCATAAAAAAAATCTTGAAAATGCAAGTATGCTTAGCGCTGCATGAAGTTTGAGTTTGATTGGCCCAAGGAAACTCAAGTTATCGCACGAAAACCTCTGTGCGGACGCCCACGCCGACATAGCAATACCTATGTGTCACCAGCTTTTCGCAGGCGACACAATAAAAGGTAACAATGACCTTAGCATTGACAATGAGACCTAAAGCCAGGACCAATCTGAGATAATGTCCTGCTTGATCTCTGTATAAAGTTTTTTTCAAAGTATGATGTGATTCTAAAAGGATTGATGATTTATATATAAATACCAACAGTGACCTTCTTGGCCTTGACCTTGGAACCCTTCATTACAATCTCATCTGAAGTAATCTCATATTTGACCTTTGTATAATGTTTGATCAAAATCTGTTAAGGTCATAAATGAAGCTGAAAGTTGAAGTGATGACACTGAATCGAGATGTAAGTAACAAAATGTCCCCCAGTGACCCCTCCCCCACCCAAAATACGAACAAGAGGCCCAGATCTAGAGGGCCTGTATCGTTCACCTAGATAATAAAGCAATCATAGGAGGTTATTCTTATTACATTAAATCCCTCCAATGGTACAGAAGAAGAAAAGTTTTAAAGATTTAAACCTCTAATTTCCCTATTGGACCCTGCAACTCTCAGTCCCCAGGGGGTCCAAACCCACAGTTTATACAAAATTGAGTCCCCTTGGCCTAAGGATGCTCCAGACCAAATTTAGTCTAAATCTACTGGGCCGTTCAGGACAATTACACAGCATTTTAAAGGAAAAGTTGATGGACGGACGACAGAAAGGGGCGCCGGACGCTGCACCATGGCATAAGCTCACTTGCCCTTTGGCCAGGTGAGCTAATATAAAATACAGGCATAGAAATTGAGATCAAGAATCACCGTCCAATATAGAACTAGTAAAAATATAGTAGTTCTCTGTTAACTTATCATAAATATACATATCTGTGATTCAAAACAATATAAATATAGTAATCTTAATCAAAACAGGGCTTAATTAAGGTAAGAGAGTCCCAGTACCTTTTTTTGTTCCTCTAACAAAGAAGAGTTCTAATATTACATGATTAGTTGTTGCCTATACATCTATTTTAATTTTATCTTCTGTCAAAACATTTCCACTCTGGGGATTTGATCCCAGACCTTTCAACTATAAACCAGCGAACTTATTCACCACACTGTCAGTCAAAGTATTTGTATAATGTTGATACATGAAAAATATCTCATTTAAAACAGGAAAAGCTATAACCATCGAACATTTCTTATGTAAACACAAATGTCAACGATTTCATCAGAATAACTCGGTACAAATGTAAGTAACTCGATTCGATCCGAAAACATTCCAGATTTGCCGCAATGGCCATTAAGAAAATTGACTTCAGCTTTGGGAGGAGACACAAAACTATCTATAATCATGGATGTACTACAAGAATCACATTTGTACTGACTATCCTCTATCTAGCAATAAAATGTACCCTGGAAGGGGTCAGAGATACTCAACAACACCGGTAATAGTACAAATAGAACTGGACCAGGAGTCTACAGATAATGCTTTTTGCTTGACATTCGCTGGAAAGGCTCTGTATGAAAATACCATACATACAATATTTATGTTATAAATCTATTTATCATATGAATACAGTGATATGCAGTGTCATAAAGCCATCATATAAATTATGTTTATGTAACGTGTGTAATATCACTCCGGAAAACACGTAACAATCGAATAGGAACACTCAATGTGACACCACGTCATTGTGAGGCAATTTTCATCGTTTCAGCGGCAAAGTGCAAAATGTTAATTTCAAATCACAATTACACAGTTTACTTCATATTATATTTATGATTAAAAGAATCTGTCATTCCTTTCCCTTCATACCGGTATATGTTTACTTTTTTCGGAATTTTAATATTTGCTCGCATCTCCCTCGAAAACATGAAAAATCTAAAACTTCTATAATGAATCTAACATGAAGGGAAACTTATGACATTCCTGTCTGATCCTCTTTATATGTATAAGTATTGGTAACTTTCATTTTCCTTTCTTCTAAGTTTTAGTTCATTAAGATATTAACAATATCACTGTATATCTAGAGGTATGCATTACAGAACACTGTGTTAATTGTCTACAGGTTGAGTCAGACCTGTTCATGTGACCACCTCTATAGAGAGACCAACTGTGTTAAGAGACCACATCAAATATTCCAATTGTAGTGATTTCGTTATGAATTAAACCTGTATTGAGGGACCACCTGTGTTAAGAGACGACATCTAATGTTCCCCAGTGTAGTGATTTCATTGTGAATTAAACCTGTATTAAGGGACCATCTGTGTTAAGAGACGACATTTAATGTTCCCATTGTAGTGATTTCATTGTGAATTAAATCTGTATTGAAGGACCACCTGTGTTAAGAGACCACTTGAAATGTTCCCCAGTGTAGTGATTTCAATGTGAAGTAAAACCTGTATTAAGGGACCACCTGTGTTAGGAGACGACATTAAATGTTCCCCAGTGTAGTGATTTCATTATGAATTGAACTAATGTAATAAAATACCACCTGTACTGTTAAGAGACCACTTGAAATGTTCCCCCTCTTGGTGTTTTCATTGTGAGCTGAACCTGTGTTAAAAGACCACCTGTTTTAATAGATCAATTCCTGAAAGTGGTCTCTTAATACAGGTTCAACTGTGTATATAATATTGGGGCCTCTGCAGGTCTATTATATATATATACCTCACCAATACATTATTATATCAGGGTATCACAGACTATGAACTCGCCTAGATACTTGTATCTTTAATGCTATGACAGGCCTTTAAATAACCTACGTTTTGAGGGATGTATATACAGTAGTTGAGTACTGAACTATAAACAGTACACACCTCTAACCTATACTTTGCTGTAATGGTTAGATCTCCTTCTGTACCCCTGGAATCAAAGTCAAGAAATGTCAGATTTACTTACTGTCCACGATTCCGTGTAGCCGGACTGCCGCAAACAGGGGAGCATAAATTTGACCATCATCATTGTCCAAGAAACTGGCAGATTTAGGTAAACTGTCGGGAAGAAATAGAAAACATGGAATCAGTTTTGACAGAAGTTATTATTAAATTTGCAAGAGTCAGCCAAGGTTAACTCAGACGTCAACTTGGTATGAACAAAAGTGTACACGTGTAGAGAAAAACTCCACGGATCTGATTAAATTCAACATGTATATAGGTCTATGGTGTAAACTGTGACCTTTAATATGAGAAGCTCTGCCAATATGGATCGCAGACAAGGTCACGCAGCTGACCGCTGGACGAACAATTTTGTTTCAATCTAGAAAACTGTCAATAAAGTTGGTGGTCTGTTGGAAATCAATATTACGTGCATGAGTGCTTTGGTTGGCAGGAAAAAACAATTTTTGCTCCTCGAATCTAATGAAATAGCACAGATACGATTGTTTGACCTTCAAACTTTTTCAAAGGAAGCATCAAAGACAACCATCCTTGATGTAGATACCAATTGCAAGTAACATATATATTTTACTTCATAAAATAGATTCAATCACAACAGGCGAAGGAGCAATAACTAGTTAATATTCTTGTAGTTGATTAGAAGTGTCGACCGGTTATAGAATATAAGTTTATAAGTAAGTATATTTTACTTTGTACGTAATGAAAAATGCATTGCACATTTACTTAACATACTCATTATATGAATTTACTAAATAAAGATTTTAGTAATAGCTTGTTCTCATATCTATCTTTACAATGCTTAATGCTGCTCCACTTTAGAATTAACTTTTTGGTGTTAAACCATGCAATCTTTCAATCAACTCTTTCACCCCTGAAGACACATGTGAACTCCTACAGTTAAAAGTTGGAATAGTTCATTATTAAAATCCAGCGGTGAATGAGTTAATGAGTATAATTTTCTATTGATTTCATTCCATTAATGATACACTCACAAAAATGCAACTTAAGTATAAACAAAATCTAACAATATGCCTTTACTGACATAAAACAAACTTCATCAAATAAATATACATGTACTGTATTTATCCGGCAATAAGCCCATGCCTGGTAATAAGCCCATGCCTGGTAATAAGCCCATGCCTGGTAATAAGCCCGCCCATCTCTACAGCAGTTCAGTAGAAATGCGAACAGGTTCCTAATCGTTCCGTAATTATATAAGCTCTCCTCCAACATACATCCAGTGTTATATGTGCTGTCTCTCTGGGTTTATTACAGAATATACATATGTATATAAATAACGTGTAATTTTTATAAGCTGAGGCATCCTTCCAATTCTCCCTATTTTGGAGGGAGACTCTAGATTCTGGACCCTAAATTTGAGCATTTTCAACTGTTCAATTTGCTGAACTATTCGTATTTTTGAAGATTTCATAATTTCACCTGAAAGAACAGCTCAAAAGATACTTTTTTAAAGTGTTATTTTCCCTAGGGTGTCTATATACACGTTTTAATTATGCCTTTATTTTTTAGCACACGTAATCTCACCCATGGAAATTTCAAAAGTTGGCTAGTATGCTGAGGCCACAGTTTAAACCAGCATTAGGCCATTGTATACCATTATCAGAGTGTAACAGTCAAGTAGTATGGGAACTGTGGGAACACTTGTCAGATATTCTGTTTCTCCTATCATCCAAAATGCAAAATAAACTCACCTGATGCTATTTTATAAACAGACAACACTTAGGTATTCTTAAGAGTTTCTAGTGTTACAATTTATCACTAAACTTTTTTATTCAAATTTATTGTTATATATAAACATGAATATGCTAATTGCTTGAATGGTGCAAAATATTCAAGCTTTTAAACAAAGTGAGCTATTATTATAATAAGCTTGTATATAAATTCAGCTCTGAGCCTCAGTTCATTTTGATTGAAACCTTCATCATTTTTTAATATAAGTAATATATACATGTATCACCTCACTGATTCCTTAAGAGATAAATATTAAGTTCCAAACAATGATGATCTAGATATCCAAACAGCTTACATCCTCGATATCCAGGGATTACGCTCACTTTCGCTCTCTACACCCCAGGAATATGTCATAGCAAAATTGAAGGCACGAAGATAGCTGTTTGATTGGTCTCGGGTAAAAAAAACTGACCAATCGCTAGGCTGATACCTGTCCTTTGAAGATTACAAAGGAGAGACGCCTGACTTCAAAGCCTGTCAATGTTTACCATCATTACGTGACCGGGAGGTTCTTTTGATGTCCATCAAAGGATCGATCTAGCGTCTTGTCTCGTCAACAAGGTGGCGCACACAGAGCCTTCAATTTTGCTATGACATATTCCAGGGGTGCAGAGAGTGAAAGTGAGCATAACCCCTGGATATCGAGGATGAACAGCTTACAGATTGCTGATATAACAGATCATGGGCTAAGGGAGACAACTGCTAATGACTCAATAATCCTTTTGGAATTGAAATAATTCATAATGTTTCAATGATTGCGATAGCCTGCCCGTACAAGTGCATGTATAGGTATTTTAATTCTATCAAAGTACACTTACATAAGAAAAAGATATTGTTTAACGGCAAATAGACTGTTACAATGTGAGTTTTCAATGACTCATACGGTCTATACGGAGACAACAGGTTAAATCTGAATGGTATCATGTTTTGCAGTGCACTGTTAGAGCTAAGGCAATGTCAGTGACTTAAGGATGAGAAGACCATCTTTCGATTTTATCATAGTATAATTGGCTAATTACTAGATATTACAGAGTCAAACCTGCTTCAGTCAGGCCACCTTTATTAAGAGAACCCCCTGTATACAGGGACATTGTTGCCCAGTAAAACGTCTGCCCTTCACTATGATAATCTATATTCGCCCTGTGTATAAACCTATTCATATTATGTTGTTAACAAATGTACTGCAAAACCTGTGAAAATAACACATCCTCAAAACTTACCCTGTATACAGTATACAATACGTAACTGTTGAAGAACGTGAGAACTGTGCTGTGTGACAGCCTCAGCTGGATGTGTTGGTTTAACTGAAGGAAGAGCCAGTAGGCTAGTGTCTTATATCAGTGGCGGATCCAGAGACATATCGAGGGGGAGGGGGGGATTGAGGAAAATGGTAAAATACATGATTATTTAAGAAAATTCTCAGGGTGGGGGGGGTTTCCTGGAGCCCCAAAAAAAACCTCTGGATCCGCCACTGTATATACACTGTTTACAGTATAGGATACTGACCTGTTGAAGAACGTGAGGACTGTGCTGTGTGACGGCATCAACTGAATGTGTTGGTTTAACTGAAGGAAGAGCCAGTAGGCTAGCGTCTTATATACACTGTACTCATTGTATACAAACAATCTGAAAAATAAAAATCAGTAGGTACAGGTACATAAATATTAACTTATAGGAGGACAGAATAACCTTTAAAGTTCAAGATATGAACAAATCAAGAAACTAACTTGTTTCAATAACAAAACTAAAGGCACAAAGATAGCTAATTGATTGGTCTCAGGTCAAAAATACTGACCAATCGCTAGGCTGATACCAGGGCCCCTATTCATGAAACCATTTTCATGCTCAAGAATGAATTCATATTGCTCAAGCCAACTTTCTTGTAACTGGCATAAATCATCTAATATGTTTAAAAAGACAAAAGAAAACATTCAAAACGGTGTTCAGCTTCATGTTTCACCGAAATTCTTCAATATCATTGACAGAATGTGGTGTTATTATCAATATTTCCAAGGAACAAGAAATTGGGTCTGTGCACAAAATCTGAATTTAAGCATGAGAACTGTTTCATGAATACAGGCCCCGGTCTTTGAAAATTACAAAGGAGCGACACTCAACTTCAAAGCTGGTCAATTTTAACGCTATAACTTTGAGCGATTCTTTTGAGGTACATCACACAGGATCAGACTAGTGTAACTTGTAATATCCACAAGGTAGTGCGTGCTGAGAGCCTTCAGTTTTGTCAGGACATAGTCCAGGGGTTCAGAGAATGTAACCCCTGGAGAATCGAGGGCGGGTAGAGGCTTACCTATTGGACTTGAGAATTTTCTGTAGCACTTCCATTGGTACTTCTCTCAGTTGGATCTGTGAGGACAGCTACAAAACCAAAACATTACCATGTCAGCTTCCACAGGTCTGATCCACTTCTCAAGAGCAAGGGATCATATACATCCCCTTTTAAATTTTGAAATTTCAACTATGTAACCCCTTTTTCCAAAATCTTGAGAACACACTTAACTTGTATACGCAAAAGCCAATGTCGGTATTTATATTAAATTGGTTTTGAATTGCAAAAGTTTATCCTAGATAGGTTTGTATTTTGGATGCATTTAAGCTATAAAGTAGACATGCAGGAAAATATTGAATCTATTATTTTTATACTGAATTTACATTCTCCTTGAAACACCTTCAGATAAAAAATTATTCAATACATTTGACCACTTTGAAAAATCAGACTATTTGTTGAATAATTTTATCTTAAACTATAAGTTCCTCTTGACCAGTGGCCATTTGGATCCTGCTATCAAAAAGCAATTGCCTAAAAAATCATTGAAATACCAACGAAATACCATTGAAATAGGTCGAAATATTTAAATTAGTTTGCCAATACCAGGGTGTTAAACATGATATGTCAATGGTAGGTGATAATGCTTTTGAAATGTTGAGAATTAAAATGGTAAGTTTCAATGATTTTGGACCATTTCTTGTAGCTAAGGGACAGGCTTGACCACTTGACCACTTGAGTACAGACAACTGACCAGGCTTGACCACTTGACCACTTGAGTACAGATAACTGACCAGGCTAGACCACTTGAGTACAGACAACTGACCATGCTTGACCAATTGACCACTTGAGTACAGACAACTGGCCAGACTTGACCACTTGACCACTTGAGTACAGATAACTGACCAGGCTAGACCACTTGAGTACAGACAACTGACCAGGCTTGACCACTTGACCACTTGAGTACAGACAACTGACCAAGCTTGACCACTTGAGTACAGACAACTGACCATGCTTGACCAATTGACCACTTGAGTACAGACAACTGGCCAGACTTGACCACTTGACCACAGACAACTGACCAGGCTTGACCACTTGAGTACAGACAACTGACCTGAGGTATGAGGTTGAGTTCCATCCATCTCTCACACGCCAACAATACATGCTCCTGTTGATACTGTAAACAAAAACCATCAGGGAAACATTATATATTTAATTGGTTTAGAATTTTTAATTATACAATGACAGCAGTAAAGTATTTTAATTGTAACAAACCTTAGTGGACCTAAGTAATCAATTCACTTTCGACAAAATGTTCAATAATAATTGATACTTTTATTTCTGACACAAGAACGACTATTTGCCAGTAAACATTTGCTGTTATTTACCTTTGAAGCAGCTTTGTGGAACTGACATACAGTTCTGTAGCTTATCGTCTTCAGCATCAGTTGGGCACACCTAAAAAAGGTAAACAAAAGTATCCTGTAAAGTTTGGTTGGTTTGTTTGTGCTTTACATCTTAATGTGTACAGCTGTGGTCATTTAAGGACAGGCCAGGTTCTGGTGGTGGGTATCTAGAGTGCCCAGAGTAAAACCACTGACCTGTGGTCGGTACCTGGTGACTGCCCCATGTAGGCTTCAAACCTGGACCCAGTGGTGGTAGGCTAGCTAGTGGTGGTAGGCAGACTATGTAACCACTTGACCAACAGCTGTAACTTTACATGTTAACACCCTTGTATTTCTTACTTGAAACAAACATTTGTTAAGAAACTTATGTCAATATAAAAAGCAGTAATATGGATAATGCAAAATAAAAGTGGAGAGTGGGGAAATAACCGATCAATACTGTCAATACCTCAGCACACACAAAGGAACGGAGTGTACAAAGGGAGGCAACTCCTACAGTTCTGTTGAACAAAACATAGTCCTGCTATAATTTTTTCATAAAGCAAATTATTAATCATAACCCTGTTACATACACCAAGCTTTACTAATCCATGACAGATTTGCACCTACAGATGGTAGTCAAATCTTAAAACGCCCTAACTTCATACTTACGCACTCACAAGAGACTTATACCTGAGGTAGAGAAAGCAGCTAGCACCCTGACAACAAACTCACCCATCCATGACAGACTTGCACCCAAGGTGAGAGGAAACAGCTAACACCCTGACAACATACTCACCCATCCATGACAGACTTGCACCCAAGGTGGAAGGAAACAGCTTACACCCTGACTACATACTCACCCATCCATGACAGACTTGCACCAAAGATGAAAGGAAGCAGCTAACATTCTAACTACATACTCACCCATCCATGAGAACTTGCATCTGATGACAAAGGAAACAGCTAACACCCTGACTACATACTCACCCATCCATGAGAAACTTGCATCTTAGGACAAAGGAAACAGCTAACACCCTGACAACATACTCACCCATCCATGGGAGACTTGCATCTGATGACAAAGGAAACAGCTAACCCCCTGACAACATACTCGCCCATCCATGAGAACATGCATCTGATGACAAAGGAAACAGCTAACCCCCTGACTACATACTCACCCATCCATGAGAGACTTGCACCAAAGGTGAAAGGAAGCAGCTAACACCCTGACAACATACTCACCCATCCATGGGAGACTTGCATCTGATGACAAAGGAAACAGCTAACATCCTGACAACATACTCACCCATCCATGGGAGACTTGCATCTGATGACAAAGGAAACAGCTAACACCCTGAAAACATACTCACCCATCCATGAGAGACTTGCACCAAAGATGAAAGGAAGCAGCTAACATTCTAACAACATACTCACCCATCCATGAGAACATGCATCTGATGACAAAGGAAACAGCTAACACCAGAGACTTGCATCTGATGACAAATGAAACAGCTAACACCCTGACAACATATTCACCCATCCATGAGAGACTTGCATCTTAGGACAAAGGAATCAGCTTACACCCTGACTACATACTCACCCATCCATGGGAGACGTGCATCTGATGACAAAGGAAAAAGCAAACACCCTGACAACATACTCGCCCATCCATGAGAACATGCATCTGATGATAACGGAACCAGCTAACACCCTGACAACATACTCTCCCATCCATGAGAGACTTGCATGTGATGACAAAGGAAACAGCTAACCCCCTGACAACATACTCCCCCATCCATGGGAGACTTGCATCTGATGACAAAGGAAAAAGCAAACACCCTGACAACATACTCGCCCATCCATGAGAGACTTGCATGTGATGACAAAGGAAACAGCTAACCCCCTGACAACATACTCCCCCCTCCATGAGAGACTTGCATCTGATGACAAATGAAACAGCTAACACCCTGACACCATACTCACCCATCCATGAGAGAATTGCATCTGATGACACAGCAAACATGTAACACCCTAACTACATACTCACCCATCCATGAGAGACTTGCATCTGATGACAAAGGAAACAGCAAACACCCTGACAACATACTCACCCATCCATGAGAGACTTGCATCTTAGGACAAAGGAAACAGCTTACCCCCTGACTACATACTCACCCATCCATGACAGACTTGCACCAAAGATGAAAGAAAACAGCTAACATTCTAACTACATACTCACCCATCCATGGGAGACTTGCATCTGATGACAAAGGAAACAGCTAACACCCTAACTACATACTCCCCCATCCATGAGAGACTTGCATCTTAGGACAAAGGAAACAGCTTACACCCTGACTACATACTCACCCATCCATGACAGACTTGCACCAAAGATGAAAGAAAACAGCTAACAACCTAACTACATACTCACCCATCCATGGGAGACTTGCATCTAATGACAAAGGAAACAGCTAACACCCTGACTACATTCTCACCCATCCATGAGAGACTTGCATCTGATGACAAAGTAAACAGCTAACACCCTGACAACATACTCACCCATCCATGCGAGACTTGCATCTGATGACAAAGGAAACAGCTGACACCCTGACTACATACTCACCCATCCATGACAGACTTGCACAAAAGATGAAAGAAAACAGCTAACAACCTAACTACATACTCACCCATCCATGACAGACTTGCACAAAAGATGAAAGAAAACAGCTAACAACCTAACTACATACTCACCCATCCATGGGAGACTTGCATCGGATGACAAAGGAAACAGCTAACACCCTAACTACATACTCCCCCATCCATGAGAGACTTGCACCAAAGATGAAAGGAAACAGCTAACACCCTGACTACATTCTCACCCATCCATGACAGACTTGCACCAAATATGAAAGAAAACAGCTAACAACCTAACTACATACTCACCCATCCATGTTAGACTTGCATCTGATGACAAAGGAAACAGCGAACACCCTGACAACATACTCACCCATCCATGAGAGACTTGCATCTGATGACAAAGTAAACAGCTAACACCCTGACAACATACTCACCCATCCATGAGAGACTAGCATCGGATGACAAAGGAAACAGCTAACACCCTAACTACATACTCCCCCATCCATGAGAGACTTGCACCAAAGATGAAAGGAAACAGCTAACACCCTGACTACATCCCCTCCATGAGAGACTTGCATCTGATGACAAAGGAAACAGCGAACACCCTGACAACATACTCACCCATCCATGAGAGACTAGCATCGGATGACAAAGGAAACAGCTAACACCCTAACAACATACTCACCCATCCATGAGAGACTAGCATCGGATGACAAAGGAAACAGCTAACACCCTAACTACATACTCACCCATCCATGAGAGACTAGCATCGGATGACAAAGGAAACAGCTAACACCCTGACTACATACTAACCCATCCATGAGAGACTTGCATCTGATGACGAGGGAAACAGCTAACACCCCATGAGAGACTTGCACCAAAGATGAAAGGAAGGAGCTAACACCCTGACTACATACTCACCCATCCATGAGATACTTGCATCTGAGGACATAGGACACAGTTAACTCCCTTACTACATACTCACCCATCCATGAGATACTTGCATCTGAGGACATAGGACACAGTTAACTCCCTTACTACATACTCACCCATCCATGAGATACTTGAATCTGAGGACATAGGACACAGTTAACTCCCTTACTACATACTCACCCATCCATGAGATACTTGAATCTGAGGACATAGGACACAGTTAACTCCCTTACTACATACTCACCCATCCATGAGATACTTGCATCTGAGGACATAGGACACAGTTAACTCCCTTACTACATACTCACCCATCCATGAGATACTTGCATCTGAGGACATAGGACACAGTTAACTCCCTGACTACGTACTCACCCATCCATGAGAGGCTTGCATCTGATGACAAAGGAAACAGCTAACTCCCTGACAACATACTCACCCATCCATGAGAGACTTGCACCAAAGATGAAAGGAAACAGCTAACACCCTGACTACATTCTCACCCATCCATGAGAGACTTGCATCTGAGGACATAGGACACAGTTAACTCCCTGACTACATACTCACCCATCCATGAGATACTTGCATCTGAGGACATAGGACACAGTTAACTCCCTGAAAACATACTCACCCATCCATGAGATACTTGTACCCAACAACATACTCACCCATCTATAAGAGACTTGTACCCAACAACATACTCACTCTTCCATGAGAGACTTGCACCCGAGGTAGGAGGAAACAGCTAACACCCTGACACCATACTCACCCATCCATAAGAAACTTGAACCCAACAACATACTCACCCATCCATGAGAGACTTGCACCCGAGGTAGGAGGAAGCAGCTAACACCCCGACAACATCCTCTCGGTTCACCTCTTGTTCATCATGGTACATGTTTCCTAGGGCAACTGCCATAGCTGAAGATTGAAATATAACAAGCAGTGTTTGAAATATTTGACAGATTTTTTGCATTTTATTTTGACAAAGTCAAGTTGAATCTTGTTTAGCCTAGATTTGACAAGGTCTAGCGTAGTCTTGTTTAGCCTAGATTTGACAAGGTCTAGTTGAATCTTGTTTAGCCTAGATTTGACAAGGTCTAATTGAATCTTGTTTAGCCTACATTTGACAAGATCTAGCGTAATCTTGTTTAGCCTACATTTGACCAAGTCTAGCGTAGTCTTGTTTAGCGTTCATTTGGCAAGGTCTATAGCAGCACTTTCTTTAGACTAGATATATTTGGCAAGGTCTAGCAGAACCTTGTTTAAACTAGATATATTTGGCAAGGTCTAGCTGAATCGTGTTTAGTCTACATTTGGCAAGGTCTAGCAGAACCTTGTCTAGCCTAGTCGTTACAAGGTCTAACAGAACCTTGTCTAGCCTAGTCGTTACAAGGTCTAGCAGAACCTTGTCTAGCCTAGTTTTTACAAGGTCTAGCAGAACCTTGTTTAGTCTAGTCGTTACAAGGTCTAGCAGAACAGTTGCCTACCCTAGATTTGACAAAGTCTAGCTGAATCAATATCTTATTCAGCCAAACAGTTGGTACAAATTTTCAGTGGTAAATGTATAAGGGCTTCAGGAAGCTTTCAAACTTCAACATTGTGTTTTTTTTAATTGTTGTTTTTCTTATTGGAGCAATCTTCCCAATTAGTGGGCCATTGTAAAATTGTAGAATTACCAGAATTGTATAAATGGATGGCACCAGTTGGAAACCTGTTCCCTGGATGTCCAGCACGCATTTCAGTTTTAGCTCATTCCCCCCTACAATTATGGACTGGACTTGCCCAGTCTTTGATTTGGTAAGGTTCAAATGGGATTTTAGGAGTGAATGGGTTAAAGACTTAAGATGATTTACACAATTCCTTGTACATGTACATATCTCATTTGGAGACAAGGTACACAAATTTGTTTATTTACCTCATTTGGAGACAAGGTACACAAATTTGTTTATTTACCTCGTTTGGAGGTACGGTACACAAAGTTGTTTATTTACCTCGTTTGGAGGTAAGGTACACAAATTTGTTTATTTACCTCATTTGGAGACAAGGTACACAAATTTGTTTATTTACCTTGTTTGGAGGTAAGGTACACAAATTTGTTTATTTACCTCGTTTGGAGGTAAGGTACACAAAGTTGTTAATTTACCTCGTTTGGAGACAAGGTACACATGCAAACTTGTTAATTTACCTCGTTTGGAGACAAGGTACACAAACTTGTTAATTTACCTCGTTTGGAGATAAGGTACACAAACTTGTTAATTTACCTCGTTTGGAGACAAGGTACACACATTTTTTTTTATTTACCTCATTTGGAGGTAAGGTACACAAAGTTGTTTATTTACCTCGTTTGGAGACAAGGTACACAAACTTGTTAGTTTACCTTGTTTGGAGATTGTTTATTTACCTCGTTTGGAGACGAGCGGGTCTCTAATGTCCAGCTTGATGATGGTGACATTGTTGAAGCGTTTCTGAGAGATGTGAGCCGGATGGTCCACTCCTTTCGCTTCTTCCTCCTCCTGTTTCTCCTCCCCGTCCACCATACTCAGCCTATCAGAGTGAGTATATATGAATATGTCACAATAACTTTTAAATGTTGTCGACATATTGTACATTTTCCGAGATAATTTTGCCGAGATAATTATCACGTAAGTAGGTAACTCGGCTTTTTATCGTGTTAATGCTCAGAAGTGTTATTTATTGACTTGCCACTTATTTATGCAAAACAAGACGAGTAGTTAACCAATCATTTTTCCAGAAATTATAATTAGTCTTATACATGTCAACAGAATATATAATTCTACTCAAAACCATTTCAAATCTGGTGTAAAATTCTTCATTTAAGATAAGTATACTTAAATGCAGGTGATATACACTTCAATGTGGAACTGAAATATTGAACATCTAAAATTCTGGACTAAAGTCTAAATAATCTTTCATTATTAATGTGAAGCAAACTTAATCCTACAATACTATACCTGTTACTGATCTCCCTGTACTCATTGCTATAGAAATTACTCTTCTTTATGTAATTGTCCAGGGTTTCGGAGGCTGGACTGCGGTAGTACTTCTGCAGCCGAGGGTCATCAGCCTCGCGGAGGAGCTGGGCCAGGACCTCAGACTTCTGTACATAAGGACGGTGAAGCTCCCAGTCCATACCAAGGCACTTCAGAAGTACATCTGGAGAGCAGAAAGGCAGTGTTTACAAAAGGCTAATAATCATAATATTATTGATGCATTTAATCTATTAGAAATTTTGTTTATATATAAGTTACAGCCATAGCATTGAAACAGATCTTTAGGAATCATTGATAATAAACTTAATATAGTTGGGTTGTTGCTTTTTTTTTCCAAGTTTGTATATTTTTCTTCAAAAGAAAGACATCAATTAGAAATACATTACAACTCATATAATGGTAAAATATATCAAAACACTTTAAACTTTTCACATCACTGCTGTAGTGTTAATATTTTTATGAAAAGAAAATTAAACAATTCATAATAAAACATAACAGCAGTTACTAATATAGTCTAAACTCATTCACCCCTGAAATCTCGTAATGAAATATTCCAACCTTCTTCAGGGGTGAATGATTTAAATGTATAATCAGAAGAGCTGATACTTTTAGATACAGGTGTTTACCTGTTGTTTTATCTATTTTTATTGTTAATGTATTGAAACTAACAACAAAACAATAATATTTTACATGCTGTTAAAATGTTCGGAGTCAACATGCTATATGATATACCACGATTACTATAGTGTTAGGGTAAAGAGTACCATCAGGTTAGAATTGATCATAACCATTGGCACTATAATAAAAAATTTACACCATATTCTCCAGACTTTTTTCAAATATAGCACATCTTGGGATGCATTTTAGATATTTGTGGTTGTTCAATGACCATTTGAAAATAAACACAAAAAGAAAAGAAGAAAAAAATAATAAATAAAACATATTGCCAATCCTTAATATTTTAAATGTTACTATACACAGGACTTTTAAATGCATAGTATCAAAATGAAATATGAACATCTTGCCAAGGGAGGTAATTATAAACCAGAAAATCTCTTAATGAGGCTTTTCTACTGCATAAGACAGAAGACTCTAAGTTAATAAAATCTCTGCTGAAGTAGATGTAGTAATACTCTTTGCCTTGATTAAAGAGTTAAGTTGTTTGGCCATGAATAAAAGTCTAAAATAAAACTAGCTAGCTAACATCCCGTTTATGTAAGGAGGTAAAGGAGTTGTACATAATAATGATAACAGATAATAATGTGTTAAAACATCATTACATATACAACACAAAGTTGTGGTAATCTAGGATTGTGTGAAAAACCTAACTTTCTACAGCAGTGATAATCAATTATAAACTTAAGTCTATAGGTAAAGCATGTCTACCATTCTATCTACAGGTGTGATAAAATAAAAATTAAAAAGGACTATAACTTTCTACTGATTTGACAAAACGACAACTAGGAAACACAACATAAAATACCACAACAAAGTTATCATCATTCCATAGGGATGCCTCATACCAAGTTTCTTATTATTCACCATGTTTTTCAGACAGTAATAGGCTTATGGTACTTCCTCTGCTTTCAAGTTAACTTAAACTACATTCATTGTAAATGTGCTTTAATTCATTTGCATACATAGTATTTATAGATTAATATAAATTACTTTCTTTATTAATTGATATTAGGTTGATCATTTGTTGTAAAAAAAAAAAAAAAAAAAAAACCTTTTACATTTTACCTTCATACCGTGACATCTGACGTGCCATATACATGTTTTTGATAAATCATTAAGTAATTAATTGTGAATTACAAACAATAACATCAGTCTACTAAACTCATCCACCCCTGAAGACACATTTTAACTTTTCCAATACAATGGTTGGAATAGTTCATCATGAAATTTCAGGGAGGATAATCATATTATAAATTACAAACATGCAGACATGCATTTCTTAACAACATCCCACATTCATAATATATATTGGCCTAGGAGAAACTGCATGCAAAAAATCCATAATTAACCAGGACAAACTTTAGTACGTTTTCACACTATAACAAATTATAATTTAAAATCTTGTTTTTTACCATGATTGAGGGCTGAAAGCAATGAAAGAATAAGCTATTATGTATTAGAAAAGGCTAGATAAAACTTACTGCAATCTGCAAAACAAACAATGGAGATGAGATGGGCCGACGAACAAGACCTATGATAACATTTATCCTACTGAAGCTGACTAAAAGGGAAAGTTTGAATGTCAAGTAATTAACACATTCACCCCTGAAATTTCATAATGAACTATTCCAACCTTTGAATTGGAAGAGTCTAAATGTGTCTTCAGGGGTGAATGAGTTAAAACACAGTATTGATTGGTTTTGGTCTTTACTGCAGTTTAAAATTTTGCAACAGCTTTGGTCAGGTCAGGGCAGTGCTAAAAAGTACTATTTTAAAAGTTCCGTCACCTTGGTAAAAATACACAACTCGACATAGTAACACTCATATCATGCCCAGTAATATTACTCTCACATCAGGAAGTGACTATATAGTCCTTACTGACACCGACAGAGATTAGGAAATACCAGTTTTAAGGACACTGGTTTAACTGAACCCATAATTTTCTTTGTTTGGGCAAAAGTCTCAGCACCAAGGCATTTTTTATTATTTTATTTTTTTTAATTTGAAGGAGGGGGGAAAGGATGATGTCTTTTTTATTTTGGAGAGGAGGGGGGGGGGGGAATCAGGATGTCTTTTTTATTTTTAATGTTTGTAACAATGAAAATACAGAGGAAATATGATACCCTGTTTTTCGGGTGATAAGCACATGCCTGGTAATAAGCACACCCTCCACTTTTCCTTATTTTTCTTGCATATATGGTGGATGCGTGGTAATATGCCCATCCCCATTTCTTCAATTTTGTCGGACAGTAAAAAGTGGGTTTTTTGTATTGTTTTACGTTGTGCAATACATTGTAAAGACAAAAAAAACAAAACATGTGTTTCAGGTATCACAACCTGACCTTGATTTTCCTGCCGACCCTAGAAATGTTATCACTTACTTGTATCTAAGATAAATTTATAAACCAGGTAACTTACATCAGGTATATTACTCTGACATATTATCATATATTTATCACACATTTCTATATGGTAATCGTAATCAGCTGCGTCACGGCCGTGTTACTCAACAATTATTGGTTACGTAAACTTCAGTTATACAAACATGATTTCAGGACTTCTAACTAATTATCACTACTTATATATGATAAAGGGTAATTTAAACTTAGAGAATATTTTTTGTAACAAAGTCAAATAATTCGGAATCAGGAGCCAATTTTCAGACCTTAATAAAAGGGTGGGAATTGAACCCATGTGTGTCGATGATATAGAGTGGATACAAAGGTGTAGAAAGGATATTTGTTTTGTACTAGAATGATGGTGCATTGATATTGTAGAACCCACTGTGTGTGTATATAGAGAATAATACATGCCTTTTTCCATATCACACCCAGTATCATCCCGAGACTGCAATATCAGCCCAAGGGCCGAAGGCCCGAGGGCTGATATTGGTCGAGGGTTGATACTGGGTGTGATATGGAAAAAGGCGTGTTTTATTCTGTTTATTATATACTTACTAATAAAAATTACTATCTTATGATTTATTTTTAATTTTGAAATATTGAAAAACTATTTTTTTTCCAAAAGGGGTGTGATATGTGTTTTGCGGGCTGATACGGGTTTTGGGGTGTGATACGGCGAGGGCTGATATGGGTTAGAGCAATTGTGTCGTATCGCATATACAAAAAACCCGTATTTATTAGTAAGTATGTAATAAATGATGGTATAGTAGGAGCAGAAAAATGCACGGCCAGACCGGGGTTCAAACCCGGGACCCTACGACACGAGAAGGGCGCTCTACCAACTGAACTACCCAGTCGCCCATGATCGACTCAGTCCAGTTCCCCTGCAATGATATATATGCTTGAATGAAAATTCAATCCACATGATCGAGCATTAATTTTGACAGGCTTCAAATCCACTGCAATGAAAGATATAAATATTCTATATATATAGGTTTGTTCAATTCACATCAAATAACAATCCAATTTTCATTCAAACGTGTTATTTGAAAATGAACTTTGACAATAAACATCCCAAACAAACCATATCTAGACATTGGACCCAAATATCCTGTAAATGAAGCAGACATATTTGCTAGCATTGTACAGTGACACATTCAGCCTCTGTTGTATACAATATATATATAAACAATGTGTACCAAAAACCTACAATTTTATTGTGACAGTATTTCTTTCTTCTAATTTGAATATTGCACTCATTTGTTGTTTAATACAACTTTCGCAGTCTCTTTTAGAAATACTAGGAGAATATTAAGTAAATCAAAACCAAAAAAAATTTAACATTAACATTTATTGTTTAAAAAAAAAATAGTATGTTAATACAATTTAGTGTTGAAAAATAACAGAGAGCTATACACCATTTTCTATTCTCTCTACCCCAAACATGTGTATCCTATTTTTCCCCAGAATCCAATATTATATACAAGATTCTCTCTACCCCATACATGTGTATCCTAATTTTCCCCAGAATCCAATATTATAAACACGATTCTCTCTACCTCAAACATGTGTATCCATACTTTTCCCTGGAGTATGATATCAGAATGGGTTGAGACAAAAGGTTTCTCCTGTCTTGAAAATTGTATGTCATCATGTCAACAATTCATCTACCGGTACATTGTATATAACAATAAAGTTCTCAAACTTAATACAAACTACCAAGGCAATTTGCATAAATAGAAAAAAGTTTTTTAACTATTGGCAAGTATTGTCAGAAGGACAATTCTTTATCATTTAAAAAAAAAAAAAAAATACATGTTGAGTATCACAAAAACTTTCAGGGCAAGCAAATCACAACTACCATCTTTTTACGTTTTGATTATGTTTCAAGATAAATGTAACTACATGTATTCCATTTTTAAAGTTATCAAACAAATATAACTTTGCATTTATTTCTATAATTTCAAATGCTATCAAACAACCCTAATACTTATCACATTTTCAATCTTATCATAATCAAATATAACTGGACTTTTTCACATTTTTAATGTTATGATCAAATAAAAATACTATTTGTAACATTTTTAATGTTATCAAACAAATTTTACTACAATTTTCACATTTTTAATGCTTTCAAACAAAAGAAAATACTACTTTTCACATTTTTAATGTTATCAAACAAATAAAGCAAGTTACATGAACTTAACCTTCAACAATTAAACCATCACCCTGACAAAGTTCAAACAACCATGTGACAAAAACAAACATGGACCATACCGCTGAGGCCTAGGGGGCTGATATAGAAAGACCGTTGATTAATTCCTGTAAGGGGAGACAATCGGATTAGCGCTATCTAAAGTTACCTTCCTCCATTTAACCTTATTTTAACTTCACTGACTACTAATATCAAGGAAGATATCTTAACCAGGTAAAATAGTTTTCAAAAATTCTATTGTGTGACATTTTTCTCAAAAGCAATCCAAAATGAAATTGATTTTTTTCTAGTGTCATAATTATTTTGTATTTTTTTTTCAAGTTTTATCTAAATCTAAACATTCCTGCTTGAGTTATCTCCCTTCCATCATAAACTTACCTTGATCAGAATAAAAGTGATGGGGTTTTTTTTCAAAAATTTAAAACAAAAACTTTCCTTGATCAGAGTATAAATATAGATTTTTTTCTTTAAAAAATGATTTTTTTTCGCACAAAATAAAACATGATAGACTACTGTGTTATAATTAACATGCAGTTATACTGATTAAGATAATAACAATATTTAGTAGGAAATAATAACAAAGATTAAAAACAATAATAATATACATGCAATTTATATTGTTTACAATATCAACAACTATTACCAATATAAGTGAGTCACTATTTTTTTTCTCAAGATAATAGGAACAATAAAAATCTAGTGATAAATATTTTAAAGTTGTGAGAAAATGTAAAAAAGATTTGCAACATCTAAATCTTACCGCTAGCGTAAAACCCACACCAGAGCAAATAAAACAAACAGACAGCAATCAGTATGGATTAATGCAATGATTTCATCAAAAGCTTAACAACATGGAGTAGTAAAACAGGAAATGTCATTAATAAATGATGATTTATTTTGGTAAGGTAAACCTCATTTATCTAAGCTTGAATTATCCAGAAAATTTGATGTTTTGATATTCCTTTACAAAAACAGTTGTGCCTAATAATTGTAAGTGCCACCCTTGACATTATATTGAATCAATTTAATCACCATAATTTCAGATAAATACATAAAGTGATGAGACTTTTAACTTTTAACAACTTTTAAAACAAATATAGCATGTAATATTTCGTATTTGAATGATTTAATTGTTTAATTTCAATACCTACCTATTAATTCATTTTAATACCACATAGTGTGTTGGTGACACTAACATACATGCATAAATGCAAATTACAACATTTTCAATGATTCACTGGCAAAATTTAACCCTTTCACCCCTAGGTAACATACCGGTAAGTAGACTCTACCATAAATTCATCTGGATGAGTCCATTATAGTCTACAGTGGTGAAAGGGTTTTAATTATAAAAACAATGCATCAAACCTGCCTAAAATGAGTTCTGAATAATCAAGAAAGCTGTCATTAATAAAAAAAAAAAAAAAGTCTACACCGTCCCCTTATGTTTGCCGCTGGTTACAAATAGGTCTTCCTTGGAAACTGAGCCAGTGTAAAAATAACTGTCTATTTAAACCTAACAAAACTATTGCCTTTATGATGTTAGACTCAAAGAGGCTTAAAAATATTGTATCATGATGATGATGATGAGATGACTTTCTAATATTATTGTCACACAATTTCAAACAGCTAATGGGGGATCCAAGATTTATAAAAAATAAAAATAAAAATAAATAAAAAATAAAAAATTGGACCCTTATTCCTGAAAAAAGATTGGTATTATTCAACCGTATATTTTGGAGTACCGTACTAATCGTCCCATAAGCCATGAAGCCACTATGTGTTATGAAAAGTTTGGATACATGAAATTATTGCAGGAACGTTCATTATAAATTATTTGTTTATTCTTTGTTTGAGAAATTTCACGTTCACTTCACCACCGACTAATATGGTTATCCAGTAGATGGCCATTTTATAAATTGAATTTGAGACCCCTGAAAAGAATGGGTGGGCTAATATTATCAGACATTGGCTTATCGTAGTATAAATACTTTAAATAAAATAATGACAATACTTTACATGCTAAAATCAACCACAGGGGTCATGAAAGGAGCCTGCGTCCCGCCTCTAAATCTGGCACGGACAGCTATAAGACTTATCAAAATCTACGGCACTAGGCTACAAATATTGATTCTAAGAGGTAACCAATATTTCCATTAAATTAGAACATGTATCAAAATTTAAACCAATAAAACAAACATGAAGCATTAAAATTTGGCATTAATCTACTGTATATACATGCTAATTGATATAATTAATTAAGCATTATAATTACATATACACTAGTACGGTTTGGCAGATAATACACACTACAGCTTCCTTGGTATGTTCAATATAAAACACTCACCATGATCTCGAACTTTGCCTCCTAAGATTGTAAAATGTTAATCATTTTAATGTGTATTTTGCCCTTAGTTTCTTATACATGTGTAAATAATTCCCGAAAAAGAAGCTGTGTGGAAATAGCAGGAGTTGTGTCCCTTCCATCACGAACCTTCATACAAAACTGCATATCGGTGTTGACCAGAACAACACATGTCCTTCATCGAGTGACAAGTATATCTTAAACCGTGTCAAATCCAGAGAAAATTATCGCAAAAACAACATATGTATCGCCAAAAATCTGAGAATTTATATCATTTCCTTTATTTTATTGGGGGAGGGATGAGTTTGTTGTACAAATCATTGTACACAGCAGTATTAAATCCACTCCTCTAACACTACAGGTTTCAAATCCTTCAAAGTTGTTTTACGACCACTGGTGAGGGACCACGTGATGTTACCCAATATTAAACACTGAAGTGGGTATATAGTTGTTGTTTTGTAAGTCTTAAGCTTTATATAAAGATTTAAAATGACTGTAAACTGACCTGGTCCCACATAGTTTTTGTTTTTCTTGGAATGGTAGAGGAAGATGTCCTTTGGCGTGGTCGGGCGGGCGTTGGACGGAACATACTTGCTGACTGGTCCAGCAGGCATCCTACAAAAATAAGAAAACTGACAATATTTCTACTTAGAAATAGAATCTAAAACCAACAAGAGTTCCACGAAACGGTACATGATATGCCCGCCAGATGTAGAATGAGCAGTTTGCCACAAAGGCCCATAAGTGCATAATTTTTGGAGAGATAAACGTCACATCTACAAAGGGCCATAACTGCATAAATAAGCAGCAAATAATTTTGGTTATCGAACTTGTCCAAGCTTTCATGACAATGAACCTTCCCTACCAAGTTTGAAATTAATCCATTCAAAATTACTGAAGTTATTTAGCAGAAACTGTTTCGGCAATTCTACAAAGGGCCATAACTCTGTAAATAATTGGCGAATAATTTTGGTAATCAAACTTATCTGAGCTATCATAGCAATGAACCATCCTATGAAGTTTGAAATGAATCCATTCAAAATTACTGAAGCTATTCAGCGGAAACTGTTTCGGCAATTCTTCGAAGGGCCATAACTGTGTAAATAACCGACAAATAATTTTGGCATGCCTTAGGTACATTTTTGGTAACAAAGAAAAAGAGGACAAAATAGGAGGGGTTAAAACCTGTTCAATATAGGTACATTTGAGGCACATTTTAGGCACATTTAAGGCATGCCTAAAATGTGCATAAAATGTGCCTTTTTCATACCTCTGACTGAGGCATGCCTAAATGTAACCAAAATTATTTGCCAGTTATTTATGGAGTTATGGCCCTTTGTAGAATTGCCATAACAGTTTCTGCTCAATAACTTGAGTAATTTTGAATGGATAAATTTCAAACTTGGTAGGAATTAGCACTTAATGCCAGGTACGTACCTACTGGTAAAAGTGATTCTAAAACAAGTGCCATTGAGATGTTGCACTCAAATGGTAATGTTTTTAAGTTAACAAAATTATTGAGTACTAATAATGTAAAAGAATTATGTAATCAAGGAAAGTATTTATATTGTGTTACGAGAAAACGTAGAGAAATCAATGTCTTATATGGAAAACTGCTTGTGTACTTTGTAAGCTCACTCTCCACTTTATCAATTTAAAGTTGTATAATAATCTCTTGTACATGTATTACATGATGTAATTGTTTGACATTTAACCTATGAGTCGGATGGCTCTCGGAAATAAAGAAACTGAACTGAAACAGAGGCTGTAACAATGTTCACAACAAACATTGTACATTTCCTTCGTTGATGTTCAGTGCTGTTTTGTATATGTAAAAGATGTGGATTGATTAGGTTGCCTTTCAAGCATCATCTGCAAGGAATTTCCCTTTAGCTCAGCGGTAGAGCATCAGGCTAGAGAGCCAAGGATTGCGGGTTCGAGCCCCAGCGACGGCACTATCTTTATCACTATTCCTCGTCCTATAACAAATTGGTGCCGTTGACCCTCCCCGTTCAAGGTAGGAGAACCCTTGGCAGGGAGTCAAAGAACCTGGGTTGGTGTTAGAAAGAAGAGGGGAATAGTGCATTGATTAGGTTGCCTTACAAGAGTCAGCTGTAGAGAATTTCCCTTTAGCTCAGCGGTAGAGCATCGGGCTGGAGAGCCAAGGGTCGTGGGTTCGAGCCCCAGTGACGACACTATCTTTATCACAATTCCTTGTCCTATTACATATAGGCTTGTATGTGGCAAAGAGTTAAACACAATCTACACCGACCTACTTCACTATCTATGTCTTTATTATCAGTGTAAGTCTGCCGGTTAGCTGTCGCTCCACAGGGAAGTTATTTACTATGTACAACTGCAGGTCTAAACAGGTAGATCTACGTATTGCCGCAGTGATGGGCGTATCCAGAGCAGAAATCTGTTGATATTACTGAACTAGTCAGCAGCATTGTCAAATTCAGCCGAACATTTGACTTTAAGTTTTGATCAAACTTTTACAATGGCAGCAGGAAAGTGACAGATTTATCAGCAAAGCTACAGGTCATCATGTGATTGTGAATTCTAGGACTGAGAAATATGGACAAATGTAAGTGATTTTTCGGAGGTATAGAATGGAAAACTTGGATTCATCATCACAGTAACCCATGACATCAGTGATCGTGGGGTAGTTATTTTATAGTGGGTTTTTTTACATTACTAAATGTTTAACAATTATATACTACTGGATGGGACAGTAAAATCAAGTTTTCATTTCTTTACATAACAAACTCTCAATTTGTAAGTGTTTACTGATAACAATATATCTATACAAGAACAACAAACAACTTTAGAACTTCAACAAATAATTTGGCTTTTCATCAAAATGGCAACCCCTATAATCCAAATGCCTCTCCGTATCAAAGGTCAAACGACATGTATTCACCACAAGAGGAGACAATTAGAATTTTATTGTGAAAAGTGTCAGGAACTGGTTTGTCCAAAATGCCTTTCTTCTATTCACAAAATCCATCCACTTTGTGAGCTAAGTGAAATCACTCCCCATGAAAAAACAGACATTAAAACCTTTATAGACAGAACAGAAAAAAATGACCTTGTGCAAATTGGGAAATATATCACCACTACTGATGCACTCCTTAAAGACAACACTAGTACTTTTGAGAAGCTGTCACAAAAGTTAACAATGCAAACAGAAAAATTAAAACAAGAACTGGACATGCTTACAGAACAGACACTCTCTCTTTACCACAAAATGGAAGAGGATAATCCAAATCTCATAAAGAAATACAAACAGGACCTCGAGATGTACGAGAAGCAACTCAAACAACAAATTCAAGAATGTAAAGCAGCTCTCCAGCGTGGTTCACACATACAGATTTATGATACATTTTGTGAGATCCAGTCTCCTACACCCAGTCTCCCTGTAAAACCTGTCCTGGGTACTGCCAACTTCACTCAAAATGAAAATCTTCAAGATCACCTGAAAGAAGCCTTGGGAAAAGTTACCACCTTAAGTCAAGGTCAAACAAAATTAACTGACCAGGATCGGTCAGTATCAACATCTGATGATCTGGGACAACCCTCTACACAACAACAACAGTCAGGAGCAAAAGTGAAGAAGGCAGTGACAACATACAAACTACTGCCACAGACCAAGGTAGTGGAGGAGTGGAGGTCTCCATGTCACATTGGTTCTATATGTCCCACCACTGATTGTCAGATGTGGACCAAGTACAGTAACACATTAACTCTCCAGGACAGGAAGGGTGAAGTAAAACAGAAGGTCAATCACAATGCCTTGATCAATGACATCAGTCTATCACCCACCACACACACACTGTGGGTCTGTGATGATGACAACAACATCATGGAGCTGGTATCAGGACGACTGACTCACAGATTCCGTACCAAGGAGTTACCCTTGTGTATATGTATTACAGCCAGTAACCATGTCATTGTAGGGATGTACAGACACATCTCCAAATTTACCGCAGATGGTAACATGGTGTGTACTACAATGACTAAAGGGACTGGGAAACCATTAGTGTGTACACCACACAGGATCTCAGAGTGTCCTGTCACTCACAATGTGGCAGTCACTGATTTCAGTAGTGAAAGTGATGGTGGTGATGGAAAACGACATGTTGTTGTGATGGACACAGATTTTAAGGAACTGTTTGTATATAGAGGTGACATCCCCAGTCCATATAAACCAAGACCACAAACAAGAGGTGAACCATTTAACCCTTGGGGTGTGGTGTATGACAGTGTGGGGAACCTGATCATAGGGGACTGTGACAACTACAGCGTCCTACTCATCAGTGGACGTGGCGAGTTCCTCAGGGTCATACACACAGACCGTACACTGTCTGTAGGTATAGACAGGGAGGATGTCGTGTGGGCAGTGTTGGGCCGTTACAAAGTCGCACTACTACAGTACAGCAGTGTGTGACACCTGTAACCAAACAACTAGTATATCTAGTTACCATGACAATGACATGGAAATCAGGGACAAAGGAAACTTATCATGATTACCAATCAACAAAAGATGTGTGACATTCACAGGATTATATGTAAAATGTCTAGACTACAGATTGTGCGACATTCACAGGATTATAGGTAAAATGTCTAGACTACAGATTGTGCGACATTCACAGGATTATAGGTAAAATGTCTAGACTACAGATTGTGTGAATGTAATCGTACATTCACAGGATTATAAGTAAAATGTCTAGACTACAGATTGTGTGACTGTAATCGTACATTCACAGGATTATAAGTAAAATGTCTAGACTACAGATTGTGAGACATTCACAGGATTATAATTTCGAGACCAAATAGCCCTATACAACTCTGTAGCCATTACTACCAAGGACACTGGTGGAGCCAGCCCCAAACCAAGTAACTATGGTAACAAAGCCAGCCAAGGTACCGCTAGTCGTGGTCAAGGTACCACTAGTCGTGGTCAAGGTACTGATAGTCATGGTCAAGGTACACTAGTCGTGGTCAAGGTACTGATAGTGTTGGTCAAGGTACCACTAGTTGTGGCCATACTACCGCTAATCGTGGTCGAGGTACTGATAGTCGTGGTCAAGTTACTGATAGTCATGGTCAAGGTATCGTTAGCCGTGGTCAAGGTACTGATAGTCATGGTCAAGGTACTGATAGTCGTGGTCAAGGTACACTAGTCGTGGTCAAGGTACTGATAGTGTTGGTCAAGGTACCACTAGTTGTGGCCATATTACCGCTAATCGTGGTCGAGGTACTGATAGTCGTGGTCAAGTTACTGATAGTCATGGTCAAGGTACTGATAGTCATGGTCAAGGTACTGATAGTCGAGGTCAAGGTACACTAGTCGTGGTCAAGGTACTGATAATCGTGGTCAAGGTACTGCTTGTCATGGTCCAGGTACTGATAATCGGGGTCAAGTTACTGATAGTCATGGTCAAGGTACTGATAGTCGTGGTCAATGTACCTATAGTTGTGGTCAAGGTACTGATAGTCGTGGTCAAGGTACTGCTAGTCATGGTCCAGGTTCCGCTAGTTGTGGTCAAGTTACTGATAGTCGTGGTCAAGGTACCGCAAGTTGTGGTCAAGTTACTGATAGTTGTGGTCAAGGTACCGCAAGTTGTGGTCAAGTTACTGTTAGTCGTGGTCCAGGTACCCCTAATTGTGGTCAAGTTACTGATAGTCATGGTCAAGGTACTAATTGTTGTGGTCCAGGTACCGCTAGTCATGGTCAAGGTACTAATAGTCGTGGTCCAGGAACCGCTAGTCATGGTCCAGGTATCCCTAGTTGAGGTCCAGGTACCGCTAGTCGTGGTCAAGGTACCGCTAGTCGTGGTCAAGGTACTAATAGTTGGCGTGACAGTGTATCTCCCTTATAAGCACCAAGCAAAAGCAAAAGTGACCATTGACTGTTAAAAAAGGACCATTTACACTAAATTTTTGACAGTATATGCCCTGTTCTATTTTAAAGTAATGGCAATGGTGGGTTTTTTTTTATTTTTTTATATTATCTTTCTGCATCTTATGATTATAGCATTGCCTTAATTAAGAGCATACATTTTATTACAATATAGAATTAAGTTGTTTTGCTTTTTCATTTTCTACAAGATTCTTACACAAGTATTTTTGTTCTTGTTAGGTAAATTCTTACTTACTTCTGTTCAATTTCCATATTTAAATCACATTTTGAGACTTGAGATAAACCTACTGTATCTTGCCATGGTTTATGCGTACATTGTATTCAGTACATGTTCAAATGATATGTTTCTACTATTATTGCATGTTTTGTACATAAATGAATATTGCATTTTAAATGAAATACAATATATAACACAATTTTAAACTTGTGAGTGAGATATAGAAAGTTTTAGATCATTTTCTTTTGGACAAAACACCATGTTTTTTTCACTCGCTTTCATTCTATTTTGTGAAATTTGAAATTTCAACGCTAAAGTGACACTGCGCAGCTGTTTACTTTATGTATGTTTGTATGTATAGTACTCTAGGTCTTTTTAGAAACCAGTAATACTGGGTAGTTTGTTTCCCACCTTTTGTTTGTAAATATGTAAAATTACTAGTAGTAGTATTGTATTAAGAGGGGTTAATTCATGTCTGTCTGATCCTTTGCCTAAGATTCTGTCACTATTTTGAAGAAGTATTGTTTTATTTGATTTTGTTTGTAACCACATTTTAATTTCATTCCAATAGTTGTCCACTATTCTATATTCACAAAACATGTGTAATATAGTTTCCACATATCTATTACAAAATGTGCCGAGTGGGTCAGTCTTTTATCTCTATCCTATGAAGATATCTATTTGAACTAATAATTCTGTGAGTGATTCTATATAAAAACCATCTAAGTTTGCAATCTAGTGTACATCTGAAAGAAATCACATTAATGTTTTTCCACCATATGTCATCTACCACTAAATGTAATTCTTCCCACCATATGTCATCTACCACTAAATCTAATTCTTCACACCATATGTCATCTACCATTAAATCTAATTCTTCACACTATATGTCATCTACCACTAAATGTAATTCTTCACACCATGTCTCATCTACCACTCAATCTAGTTCTTCACACCATATGTCATCTACCACTAAATCTAATTCTTCAGACCATTTTGATTTATATTTGTTGTTCACTTTCAATTCTTTGACCAATAAACTATATATTGACTGACCTCTATGTTTGTTTGTTATTATATAGTAGATATGTGAACTTGAAGACTTGTTCCAGTCTACTCAGCTGCAAATGAGTATGTGGTTGGGCAGTGCCAGAATCGTTGAATGCTAGCTGTGAGCGCCGAAATGGCAGCACCGGCTGTATGCTTCCAAGGGAATTGAGAAAGATATTGGCAGGTTGCAAAGGCCCTATAACCACGGATAATAATTTGTGAACCGCTTTGTGATGAACTAAAAACTAGGTTGTGATAAGGCGGTATATAAGAACCTCAAATTATTATAATTAGATGTATCTTGGACAATGTGGTAATATGGTGGTACGCTGCATGTTTTGTGTTACATATTACATAGATCTGTAATTGCATTGCGTAAACCATAGAACATAGTTATTTAGGGACGGAACTCATATTTTTCACAAAAGTGTTTGTAAGAGTTAATTATTTCGTGTACAAACATAATACATTGTTTGAAATAAGCTGGTTTATCATCAATTTTTAGGTCACCTGAGACAAAGTCTCAAGTGACCTATTGCGATCGCCTTTTGTCCGCCGTCGTCCGTCGTCCGTCGTGCGTCCGTAAACAATTTACATTTTCGACTTCTTCTCCAAAACCCCTGAACCAATTTCAATGAAATTTTGCAGGAACCTTCCATGGCCAAAGGTCAACTAAAGTTGTGAATTATATGGTCCCCAGCCCCCAGGGGCCTGAGAGGCAGGGCCAAAAAGGGTAAAATTGACTAAAATTTCAAAAATCTTTTTCTCAAGATCCAGATATGGTAGAATCAAATACTCTTCATAGATAGAAGGGTCTTAAGGTGCTTTACCAAAATTGTGAATTTCTTGACCCTGGGGTCTCACGTTTCCCCCTGGGGAGGGGGTAAACTTTACTATAGTTTATATAGGGAAATCACATTTTGGACCAACATTTGTTTAATTTCCATTGGAAGTAATTCAATTTGGGTTAGCATTATCAGTATTAGGTAGCAGTTTGATAGTATGTACCTATGAGCCCTGGCTGACCCCCCGGGGCTGATGGGTGGGGCCAAAAAGGGTTGAATTGACTGAAATTTCAAAAATCTTCTTCTCAAGACCCAGATATGGTAGAATCAAATACTCTTCATAGATGGAAGGGTCTTAAGGTGCTTTACCAAAATTGTGAATTTCATGACCCTGGGGTCTCGCGTTTCCCCCTGGGGAAGGGGGGGGGGGGGGGCAAAATTTGTTATGGTTTATAATGGCAAATGATACTTTGGATATTACACGTTGATAATTTGATAGGAATTATAACCCTAAGTTGACAGTTTGATACTTTGTAAATTTTGAGCAATCCCTACCCCCAAGGGCTGTAGGGTGGGGCCCAATGGAGTCTGTGTGCTAACATAAAATTTCTTCATTTTCCTTGTTTAGAATCAGAGGTACTAGTTTCAAATACTTTTCAGTCTTAAATCTGCTTGCTAGATATTGAATAAGGTGGTTTTATTGTTTTTTGTCACTTTGAATAATATTTCTGTTCATGTTAAAAACAAAAATCAACTCTCTGTATAAATATATCAGGTGACCATTAAGGCCCATGGGCCTCTTGTTTATTTTGTCATTATACCATAGTTGTTGGTTTATGCTATCTTCATCATATATTTCTACTAGAAAATTCCTATAAGTCAGTTGTACTTCTTTCCGGAAAAGGTTTTCTACTCTTGCTTAAGGCTCAGCAATTTAGGAGTGGGATGACTGGTTCGCCCGTTGTCAGTATAATGTGACCGGGTGGGGTGTCCTGCTGGGTGTCTTCGGCAGTATGTTTCAGTGAGGTAGCACTATAAAGTCGGCATCAGTTCCTCACTATCACAAGGAGACAAACGAGAACATGTCAGAGCCTCTCAAAACACACACGCATACATTACAGGCATGCATGATGCACACAGGGGAGGCCGTCCTTAAATTACCATTGCTGCATGTTGATAGGACGTTATAAGTTCTTCACGACTCCCTGGGTTATTACCCTTGGGTAAAATAGCGACTACTCCTTGTTTTTTGTGATAGCGATAGTTCTCCTATTTGGATACCCATATTTAATTGATTTTAGAATATAATTTTTTTTATCTGACCAGAAAAATTTATAGAATTCTGCCGAAAATCCTTCTGGGCCTGGGCTTTCCCATTTTTTTTAGATTTTGATTCAATTACCCAGTTCTTCCACTTTAATGTTCCAGTTCTACTTGCTACAGATAGTTTTGGTATTCCACATTAATGGTCTGTTCTAGTTCTACTTGCTACAGATAGTTTGGGTATTCCACATTAATGGTCTGTTCTAGTTCTACCTGCTACAGAGAGTTTTGGTATTCCATATCAATGGTCTGGTCTAGTTCTACTTGCTACAGATAGTTTTGGTATTCCACATTAATGGTCTGTTCTAGTTCTACTTGCTACAGATAGTTTTGGTATTCCATATTACTGTAATAATTGCTTTAGATCCAATTCCTCAATTTCTCCTTCTTTGCACGAGTAGAAGTTATTATAAAAGATTTGTATTTCCTTTCGTATATTCTCTTGATCTGTAATTTCATACCCTTCATAATTTTTAGCTAAGACACATTTTTACTGACGTAGTTTCTTGTTTCAACTTGTTACAGGAGTCACTTAGTAGGCTTTTCCCCATTTTCTACCCATTGAGCTCTAGATCTAATTAACACTCCCTTTATGTACTCATTTATCATGTTTTCGTGTGCCGTTTTTAATTAAGTGACAATTTCTTCTAGGATTGTATTGTGTACATATTATTCAGCATTTTTTCAATATTTTTTATTTGTCCTTCAATATTTTGAAATTTTTCATTATTTATTCTCTATTTATTACTGTACCACTATATGGTATTGTCATAGAACGAATTTTTAGTTGCAGCATTTCAAAAACTAGCTGATCATCAAGTGTTGATTGATAATTGACAGGGCTTATGTTAGCTATTTCGTCTTTACCATAAATAGGTACTGCCAACTCCATTTCTGTTCCTTCAGTACATGACTTCACTTTATCAATGTGTGTTTTATCTCGTAAAAGTGTGTTATTGAATTTCCAAAACCTGCATCCTTTTTTAAATTCAGTTAGTTTTAAGTTGAGAATGATTTAAATGGAGTGGTCAGTTTTATAACCTGGCTTTATCTCAGCTTTATCTATTTTTGTCATTAATTCGCTGGATGTAGGAATAAGAAAATAAAGGCGTGCCTTCTTAGTGAAATTGGCTGAGTAGTTAAGGAGAAGTTGTCAGGACAAGCGTTTTTCAACAAAGGGCAATAACTCCGTAAAAAGGGTCAGAATGAAAAAAATAATACCTGGATGCACAATATCAGGTGGTAGTTATCTTATCTGAAAACTTTCGTTGAAATTGGCCCCGTAGTTTTGGAGGAGTTATCCGGAGAAGGAATTTTTCAACAAAGAGCCATAACATCGTAAAAAAAGGTCAGAATGAAAAAATAATACCTGGATGCACACCTTCAGGTGTCATTTATCATATCTAGAAAGTTTGGTTGAAATCAGTCCATCACTTTAGAAGGAGTTGTCTGAACAACATTTTAACAGATAGACAGACAAGCTGATTCCAGTATACACCCCACCCCCCAACCCCACCCTAACCCCCTTTATTCGTTGTGGGGGGTATATGATGTACACGCATTGAAACACTGCTCTGGTGGTGACGCGGTCGAACATCGCAAAAGGAAGCCGCCGCCATTGATTACTGTACTAACTGTCAAAGAATTTTGAATGTGCATCCATGGTTTGTTTATTTGGTTGTTTAATTTTGTTTAACCTCCTATTAACAGCTAAGGTCATTTAAGAATATGTGCCTCCATGTGTGTAGTGTATGCGTGTGTGTATGCAGGAGACGGGGTATGTTGGTGTTCTTGCCTCCTTGTGATAGCGCAGATAAGAAGTTCGCCAGCATCCCTTTATTGTATAATCAAACATAATGGATCCAAAATAGGTTCCATATTTCTAGATGATGAAGGAACCAAACAATGGCTGTCATCGATGAGTTATTCTTTTAGGCGTGAACGGCGCCATATTTGAAACATGTATCAATCTGACGAACCTTTTTTCATTGCGTATACGCTAATTTATACGCAGTCAGAGTTAATTAAGCTGAAGAAAGGAGAGATGTAAATATTTATCTATTAATCAAAAATAGACTTATTGTGAAATATGTTATTGTAAAAAATATCCCGTCCTGTACAGTAGAATCGTTTCCAGAAATAGAATCAACATTTCTGAAGTGTCTGTGGATTCTCTGACAAAATAACCAATGTTGGTGTGATCAAAATTTAATCAAATATATCAGATACTGTTAATTACACTTTCAAGGCATTCAATAACAAGAGGCCCAGAGGACCTGTATCGCTCACCTGGATATTTGAGCAATAATAGGGAAATATTCTCAAATATTTCCATATCTTGAGTCTCCTTGGGTTAAGAATGTCCCCGAGTAAATGAAAATGTATACTACTCTATCCCAGCATGCTCCTGGTCAAATATCATCACCAATGGCCTTCTGGTATTGTTGAAGAAGTATACACATATTTCACCCCTGAGACCTTGAAAGTAGGTCAAGGTCATTTATTTGAGGTAACTTATAGCACTCTGTCCCAGATACCTACTTCCCTAATAGCATTGTTCTAGGCCTCTTGGTTATTCAGAAGGTTCTGTTTAAAGGTTTTTTTACAACGTTGAACCATGTGACCTTGAAAGTAGGTCAAGGTCATTTATATGAGGACACATCATAGCACTTAATGCCAGGTACCTACTGGTACAAGTGATTCTAAAACAAGTGCCATTGAGATGTTGCACTCAAATGGTAATGTTTTTAACGAAATCATTGAGTACTAATAATGTAAAAGAATTATGTAATCAAGGAAAGTATTTATATTGTGCTACGAGAAAACGTAGAGAAATCAATGTCTGATATGGAAAACTGCTTGTGTACTTTGTTAGCTCACTTTCCACTTTATCAATTTAAATTTGTATAATAATCTCTTGTACATGTATTACATGATGTAACTGTTTGACATTTAACCTACGAGTCGGATGGATCTCGAAAATAAAGAAACTGAACTGAAACAGAGGCTGTAACAATGTTCACAACAAACATTGTACATTTTCTTTGTTGATGTACAGTGCTGTTTTGTATAGGCTTGTATGTGACAAAGGGTTAAACACAATCTACACCGACCTACTTCACTTTCCATGTCTTTATCAGTGTAAGTCTGCCGGTAAGCTGTCGCTCCACAGGGAAGTTAGTCACTATGTACAACAGGGAAGTACTGCAGGTTTAAACAGATCTACGCATTGCAGCAGTGATGGGCGAACATTTACAATGGCAGCAAACAAGTGACCGATTTATCAGCAAAGCTACAGGTCATCATGTGATTGTGAATTTTAGGCCTGAGAAATATGGACAAATGAAAGTGATTATTCGGAGGTATAGAATGGAAAACTTGGATTCATCATCACAGTAACACAGTGACATCAGTGATTGTGAGGTAGTTTATTCTACAGTGTTTTTTCATTTATATACTTAGTTTAACAAACATATACTACTGGATGGGACAGTAAAATCAAGTTTTCATTTCTTTACATAACAAACTCTTATTTGTGAGTGAATACTGATAACAATATATTTATACAAGAACAACAAATATCTTCAGGACTTCAACAAATAATTTAGCTTTTCATCAAAATGGCAACCCCTATAAGCCAAATGCCTCTCCGTATCAAAGGTCAAACGACATGTATTCACCACAAGGGGAGACAATTAGAATTTTATTGTGAAAAGTGTCAGGAACTGGTTTGTCCGAAATGCCTTTCTTCTATTCACAAAATCCATCCACTTTGTGAGCTAAGTGAAATCACTCCCCAGAAAAAAACAGACATTAAAAACTTCATAGACAGAACAGAAAAAAATTACCTTGTGCAAATTGGGAAATATATCACCACTACTGATACGCTCCTTAAAGACAACACCAGTACTTTTGAGAAGCTGTCACAAAAGTTAAAAATGCAAACAGATAAATTAAAACAAGAACTGGACATGCTTACAGCACAGACACTCTCTCTTTACCACAAAATGGAAGAGGATAATACCAAGCTGATAAAGAAATACAAACAGGACCTGGAGATGTACGAGAAGCAACTCAAACAACAAATTCAAGAATGTAAAACAGCTCTCCAGCGTGGTTCACACATACAGATTTATGATACATTTTGTGAGATCCATTCTCCTACATACAGTCTCCCTGTAAAACCTGTCCTGGGTACTGCCAACTTCACACAAAATGAAAATCCTCAAGATCACCTGAAAGAAGCCTTGGGAAAAGTTACCACCTTAAGTCAAGGTCAAACAAAATTAACTGACCAGGATCGGTCAGTATCAACATCTGATGATGTGGGACAACCCTCTACACAACAACAACAGTCAGGAGCAAAAGTGAAGAAAGCAGTGACAACATACAAACTACTGTCACAGACCAAGATAGTGGAGGAGTGGAAGTCTCCATGTTACATTAGGTCTATATGTCCCACCATTGATGGTCAGGTGTGGACCAGGTACGGTGACACATTAACTCTCCTGGACAGGAAGGGTAAAGTAAAACAGCTTGTCTATAACAGTGTCAGGATAAGTGACATCAGTCTGTCACCCACCACACACACACTGTGGGTCTGTGATACAGAAAACAACATCATGGAGCTGGTATCAGGACAACTGACACACAGATTCCGTACCAAGAAGTTACCCTCGTGTATATGTGTTACAGCCAGTAACCATCTCATTGTAGGGATGACCAAACACATCTCCAAATTTACCACAAATGGTAAAATGGTGTGTACTACAATGGCTAAAGGGACTGGGAAACCATTAGTGTGTACACCACACAGGATCTCAGAGTGTCCTGTCACTCACAATGTGGCAGTCCTTGATTTCAGTCGTGAAAGTGATGGTGGTGATGGAAAACGACATGTTGTTGTGATGGACACTGATTTCAAGGAGCTGTTTGTATATAGAGGTTACATCTCCAGAACATATAAACCTTGTGAAGGTGTGGTGTATGACAGTGTGGGGAACCTGATCATAGGTGACTTTGACAACTACGGGGTCCTACTCATCAGTGGAGGTGGTGAGTTCCTCAGGGTCGTACACACAGATACAGTATATACACAGGCTGTAGGTATAGACAGGGAGGATATCCTGTGGGCAGTGTTTGATACATGGCATGTTAGCAAAGTCGCACTACTACAGTACAGCAGTGTGTGACACCTGTAACCAAACAACTAGTGTATCTAGTTACCATGACAATGACATGGAAATCAGGAAAATGGAAACTTACAATGATTACCAATGTGTGACTTTTACAGGATTATAAGTAAAATGTCTAGACTACAGATTTTGAGACATTCACAGGATTATAAGAAAAATGTCTAGACTACAGATTGTGAGACATTCACAGGATTATAATTTCGAGACCAAATAGCCCTATACAACTCTGTAGCCGTTACTACCAAGGACACTGGTGGAGCCAGCCCCAAACTGAATTAACTATGGTAACAAAGCCAGCCAAGGTACCGCTAGTCGTGGTCAAGGTACCACTAGTCGTGGTCAATGTGCTGATAGTCGTGTTCCAGGTACTGATAGTCGTGGTCAAGGTACCGCTAGTCATGGTCCAGGTACCGCTAGTTGTGGTTAAGGAACTGCTAGTTGAGGTCCAGATACCGCTAGTCGTGGTCAATGTTCCACTAGTCATAGTCAAGGTACCGCTAGTCATGCTCCAGGTACTGATAGTCTTGGTCCAGGTACTGCTAGTCATGGTCCAGGTACCGCTAGTTGTGGTTAAGGAACTGCTAGTTGAGGTCCAGATACCGCTAGTCGTGGTCAATGTTCCACTAGTCATGGTCAAGGTACTGATAGTTGTGGTTAAGGTACTGCTAGTTGATGTCCAGGTACCGCAAGTCATGGTCCAGGTACCGCTAGTCATGGTCAAGGTACTGATAGTCGTGGTTAAGGTACTGCTAGTTGATGTCCAGGTACCACAAGTCATGGTCCAGGTACCGCTAGTTGTGGTCCAGGTACCGCTAGTCGTGGTTAAGGTACTGCTTGTCATGGTCCAGGTACCGCTAGTCATGGTCAAGGTACTGATAGTAGCGGTTAAGGAACTGCTAGTTGTGGTCCAGGTACCGCTAGTCGTGGTCAATGTGCTGATAGTCGTGTTCCAGGTACCACTAGTTGTGGTCAAGGTTCCACTGGTCAAGGTACTGATAGTCGTGGTCTAGATACCGCTTGTCGTGGTCAAGGTTCCGCTAGTGATGGTCAAGGTACTGATAGTCGTGGTCTAGTTACCGCTAGTCGTGGTTAAGGTACTGCTAGTTGAGGTCCAGGGCCCCCCTGTATAAAACATCTCAACTCTTGAGATTTTCCTTAACTTTGAGATGTTTTATACAAGACGGCCCTGGTACCGCATGTTATGGTCCAGGTACTGTTAGTTGTGGTCGAGGTACCGTTAGTTGTGGTCCAGGTACTGTTAGTCATGGTCCAGGTACGCTAGTCATGGTCCAGGTACTGTTAGTTGTGGTCCAGGTACAGCTAGTCATGGTCAATGTACCATTAGTTGTGGTCCAGGTACCGCTAGTCATGGTCCAGGTACTGTTAGTTGTGGTCCAGGTACCGCTAGTCATGGTCAATGTACCATTAGTTGTGGTCAAGGTACAGCTAGTCATGGTCAAGGTACTGTTAGTTGTGGTCCAGGTACAGCTAGTCATGGTCAAGGTACTGTTAGTCGTGGTCCAGGTACCGCTAGTCATGGTCAAGGTACTGTTAGTTGTGGTACAGGTACCGCTAGTCATGGTCAAGGTACTGTTAGTTGTGGTCCAGGTACCGCTAGTCATGGTCAATGTACCGTTAGTTGTGGTCCAGGAACCGCTAGTCATGGCGGCATGTCCACACATGCTATATATAAATCATTGTGGTTATTAATAAGGGGTTTTGTGAGACATAGAAAGTTTTATATCATTTTCTTTTGGACAAAACACCACGTTTTTTTCACTCGCTTTCATTCTATTTTGTGAAATTTAAAATGTCAACGCTTAAGTGACACTGCGCAGCTGTTTACTTTATTTGATGCCAATTTTTTTTAATTTTTCATACTCGTTTTTGTTTTTTACATTGCTTCTTCTGTTTAATTTGTATATAGTACTCTAGGTCTAGGTAGTTTGTTTCCTACCTTTTGTTTGTATATGTGAAATTTAACAATTACTAGTAGTAGTATTGTATTAAGACAGGTTAATTCATGTCTGTCTGATCCTTTGCCTAAGATTCTGTCACTATTTTGAAGAAGTATTGTTTTATTTGTTTTTGTTTGTAACCACATTTTAATTTCATTCCAATAGCTGCCCACTATTCTACATTCACAAAACATGTGTAATATAGTTTCTACATAATCTATTACAAAATGTACAGAGTGGGGTCAGTCTTTTACCTTTATCCTATGAAGATATCTTTTTGAGCTTATAATTCTGTGAATGTGCAATCTAACGTATATTTGAAAGAAATTACATTAATGTTTTCCCACCATATGTCATCTACCACTAAATCTAATTCTTCACACCATGTGTCATCTATCACTAAATCTAATTCTTCACACCATATGTTATCTACCACTAAATGTAATTCTTCACACCATATGTCATCTACCACTAAATCTAATTCTTCACACCATATGTTATCTACCACTAAATGTAATCCTTCCCACCATGTGTCATCTACCACTAAATCTAATTCTTCACACCTTATTTCATCTACCACTAAATCTAATTCTTCACGCCATATGTCATCTACCACTAAATCTAATCCTTCACACCATATGTCATCTACCACTAAATCTCATTCTTCCCACCATATATGCCATCTACCACCAAATCTAGTTCTTCACACCATATGTCATCTACCACTAAATCTAGTTCTTCACACTATATGTCACCTACCACTAAATCTAATTCTTCACACCATGTGTCATCTATCACTAAATCTAATTCTTCACACCATATATGTCATCTACCACTAAATCTAATTATTCACACCATATGTTATCTACCACTAAACGTAATTCTTCACACCATATGTCATCTACGACTAAATCTAGTTCTTCACACTATATGTCACCTACCACTAAATCTAATTCTTCACACCTTATTTCATCTACCACTAAATCTAATTCTTCACCCCATATGTCATCTACCACTAAATCTAGTTCTTCACACCATATGTCATCTACCACTAAATCTCATTCTTCCCACCATATATGCCATCTACCACTAAATCTAGTTCTTCACACCATATGTCATCTACCACTAAATCTACCACTAAATCTAGTTCTTCACACTATATGTCATCTACCACTAAATCTAATTATTCACACCATATGTCATCTACCACTAAATCTCATTCTTCCCACCATATATGCCATCTACCACTAAATCTAGTTCTTCACACCATATGTCATCTACCACTAAATCTCATTCTTCCCACCATATATGCCATCTACCACTAAATCTAGTTCTTCACACCATATGTCATCTACCACTAAATCTAATTCTTCACACCATATGTCATCTACCACTAAATCTAGTTCTTCACACTATATGTCATCTACCACTAAATCTAATTCTTCACACCATATGTCATCTACCACTAAATCTAATTCTTCCCACCATATATGCCATCTACCACTAAATCTAGTTCTTCACACCATATGTCATCTACCACTAAGTCTAATTCTTCACACCATATGTCATTTACCACTAAATCTAATTCTTCACATCATATGTCATCTACCATTAAATCTAATTCTTCACCCCATATGTCATCTACCATTAAATCTAATTCTTCACACCATATATGTCATCTACCACTAAATCTAATTCTTCACACCATATGTCATTTACCACTAAATCTAATTCTTCGGACCACTTTGATTGATATTTGTTGTTCACTTTCAATTCTTTTACAAATAAACAATATATTGACTGACCTCTATGTCTGTTTGTTATTAGTCCCCTACCGGTTAGTGCTGTCACGATACATTTTACCCACGATTCGATACGTATCTCGATATTTGTTCCATGATTCAATTATTTCGATTCGATACACCTTTAATTTAAAATATAAACAAAATGAGATATATAAGCCGTTGATACACAGAAACCCGCAGTGTTTCCACACTTTTGATTTGAAGCTTGCAGGAGCATCACAAATTTTCATTTCCTTAAAGCGGTCCGCCATTTTAGAAATGAAATTAAACTTCTCACCGACGTTTCGGCTGAAGCGGCATACACTAATATTCAGATTGTGACGCATCAAAATTTCGGAAAAATGTATCGTGAATCGAATCGAACATAAAAAAGTGCAAGTGCATCGCGGTGAATCGCGACACCTCTACTACCGGTGAAACCTGGGGGACTAAAGGTTTCCTCTCCGTCGTCTGTATATGTACGTACCTACATACGTACGTAACACCAAGGTTTGTCAGCGCTGTAGTGGCTTCATTCCTTGAGGGATTTTTATCAAACTTCACACAATTACAAAGGACCATAATATCTAGGACAAGTTTGAGTTTCAGGGTTGTTGGGTCAAGGTCAAGGTCACCTTTACTATTTTTAGAAAATCCTTGTCAGCGCTCTAGTGGCTTCATTCCTTGGGGGATTTTGATCAAACTTCACACAATTACAAAGGACAATACTATCTTGGACAAGTTCAAATTTTAGAGTAATTTATTGGGTCAAGGTCACTGTTACTTTTTTTAGAAAATTCATTGTCAGCACTCTGGCGGCTGCATTCCATCAGGGATTTTGACCAAACTTCACACAACTACAAAGGACTATAATATCTTGAACAAATTCAAGTTTCAGGGTTGTCGGGTCAAGGTCAAGGTCACCGTTACTATTTTTTAGAAAATCCATTGTCAGCGCTCTAGTGGCTTCATTCCTTGAGAGATTTTAATCAAACTTCACACAATTACAAAGGATCATAATATCTCAGACAAGTTTGAGTTTCAGGGTTGTAGAGTTGAGGTCAAGGCCACCGTTACTATTAATACAAAATCCTGACCAAGTTGAAGCCAGTGATGGACTGATGATCGATAAATAATAATCGAACATCGATCGATTGGTCCTGTTCGATTCCGATTATGGATAACAAATTCCATAATCACAATAATCGGTTCATTACTGAACTTAAAGTGTCAAATGTGTATGTAATATACAGTATACATGGAAATTCATTTATTCTGATTTTTTTTTTACAATATGATTGATGGTAATGTAGAAAAGAAAAGTTACATTAAAATCAGTTACAAGCTAATTGTATACTTTTCATTTTCCTAAATTAACACCAAAGGGCACCATTTTTATAAATCATTAGTGTAATAGCTAGCGGGGGACGGTATTGCTTTAGCAATACTCAGTATGCTTGTTATATAGTAGATATGTGAACTTGTAGACTTGTTCCAGTCTATTCAGCTGTAAATGAGTACGTGGTTGGGCAGTGCCAGGGTCGTTGATGCTAGCTGTGAGAGCCAAAATGGCAGCTCCGGCTGTATGCTTCCCAGGGAGTTGAGAAAGGTGTTGGCTGGCTGCAAAGGCTAAACAAACACGGATAATAACTTGTGAACCGCTTTGAGACGACCTACGAACTAGGTTGTGATAAAGCGGTATATAAGAACCTCAAATTATTATAGTTAGATGTATCTTGGACAATGTGGTAATATGGTGGTACGCTGCCTGTTTCGTGTTACGCATTACATATATCTGTAATTGCATTGCGTACACCCTAGAACATTTGGACCAGATGTGTAACAGTGACTTCACTTTAACTTATCTACATAGTTTATTTCATTTACACCGAGCTTTAAACCGAAAAAAACACAAACGGTTCATCAATCCAAACTAAATTTTTGTCAGTGCATAATCTTTCTCTACTGTGTGCTTTGTTTCTGATCCATATACATTTTTGTTTTATCAATATTTGGTTTCAGTCCGGAATATTTTGCGAATTGGTCTAGTAGGTTCAGGGTTTTTCTTAATGATTCTTCTGTCCCATCTAATGTAATACCTGTATTGTCAGTGTATTGGGAGAACTTAATTTCTTTATTGTCCATTTTAATCCCTTTAATGTTTTTATTTTTCCTTATCATGATCCCTAGAATCTCTACACACATTATAAATAGGTACGGAGAGATTGGGTCGCCTTGTCTACATCCACGTCCGATGTGGAAAAACTCATTTGGTCAGATTGGCAATTCCAATTACATCCTTCCTCTGTGGAATTCTGTGTACATTTGCCAGCATCTCTGATGCAGAGTCCTAATAATACATGTTTTGTCAGTTTATGGAAAGTAGAGGAAAATGACATTTAAAGTTATCAGAAATTGTCTCCCCTTACCTGGATGGTGCAGAGGCTGGAATCTGAGGAGGCTTTGGTACCATAAAGCTTCCACTCCTCGTCACTGCCTCTGGCCCGGACTCAGCCATTGGCTGCGTGTACGGTCGGTCCATTGTCTGGCGGAATTTGTAAGGCATGCTGGTGTCCAGGTTCATATTGATCTGGGGACTCTCCGCTAGAAAAACACAAAGACAAAATCAGGATGCATGTTTCACTCTGCTGTGTCATGTATCTACATGGAGTTTCCAAAAGAGATGACACCTAGGCCTTTCAAACAGGTGGCTGAACGTTAATACAAGACGTCATAATAGCACGGTATTTCTAAACATTTTCTTCGGGTTGGTAAGTATGCGTTATGAAAAGTTTCTTGTTACACAACCAATAACTGTTTCTATGTGACGTTTCGAAGACTAGTATGGTATGTACTCTGTCACCTTCATCAGAAAAATGACCAGTGAAGCGTATACACACAAAGGTGTAAAATGTTTACGAGTTGTCCACAAACCGATGTCGATTCGGCTACGCTGTAGGCATATGTACAATAGTTGTTATATATGTACCGAAATGACTCGATTCAGCCACGCTTTGTTTACTACTTGGTCATAAATGTGCGAGAGCCTATGACCGAGTATTAAACAAAGCGAAGCTAAATCAGAAAATGTTCTAAAAAGATTTCTGTTGCGCACACAACACCTGTTATACCACAGGTAGGGTATGAAATGGTCTTGGGTTGGTGCTGCAGTATCTGTGCTGTAAGTTTTTACTTTCAAATCACTGATTGCACTATGAAAAAGCTGCAGACGGAAGCACATGCAGTACCTCTCATCATAAAACAGTGGAACAAAATACCTAATCTCTAGCACACATTAGTGGAGATATTAGCCAGGTGGTAAAGAGTTAGTAATTAGCGTGTGATAAGAAGCTCCTGCAAATCTTCCAAATCGTATCAATATACAGTATCGATTGTATGATTGAGTTGTATATCTACGTATTGCAAAGCGCCTTAGAACGGCTTACTCCAGCTAGATAGGGAACTATATCAAAAGTTCTACATTTAATTTTTTTTCGTTCTTGTCAGCTGGTATTATCTACTAACTAGAACGACCTCCCATCTTTGTTGTCTAAATCGGCTTAACAATCAACTGATTGGCTTTTGTTTCTAGACCATTAGGAAGAGCTTATATGGCACGCGATATTGGCAGTGTCTGTGGAGACATATATAATAAAAACAATAATTGGAGGTTCTTATATACTGCTTTATCACAACTTAGTTTGTAGGTCGTCTCAAAGCGGTTCACAAATTATTATTTGTGGTAATAGGGCCTTTGCAACCAGCCAATATATCTTTCTCAAACTCCCGGGGAGCATACAGCCGGTGCTGTCATTTCGGCGCTCACAGCTAGCATTCAACAATTCTAGCACTGCCCAACCATGTACCCATTTACAGCTGAGTAGACTAGAACAAGCCGAGTAAAGTTTCTTGCATACCAGACTGAGATATCCGCATTTCATGCGGTGCCCGAAAATTCTATCCAACAGTAACACGGGTCTGGATCGCTTACACGCGCAGACTGGCAGGGACATTTATAGTGACCTTTTGGGGGTCATGCTATTTGTTCGTGACGTTAATTTATGACGTTTTGGGGTCAGTCAGGGTCATAGACGTCCTTAACAATTGCATTCCGGGCTTCATTAGCAAATGAGAAATGTGCGGACAGTTTACAACTTTACTAGAAGAGCAGCTGTTTTTAAGGGTTTAGGTAATAAGCAAGAAATAGAATCCATCCCTGATGCGATGTATGGACAAGGTAATTCAAACCCTTATAATAAAATATGGAGCAGTAGACTCTCGGGTCTGACCTGCTCAATATTGTATCCTGAGGGTTTGAATTACCTTATTCATACCTCACATCAGGGATGGATTCTATTAATCTTGCTCAAACACAGTGCCTTTTGGTCAGGAGTCCAGCGTCCCACCACTAGTCTACTGTGGCATATATACACTACATGTCAGGCAGGCCTCCTTTATTAGGTTTTCTACACTCATTTTACTTGTCTGTGTCGCACTAAGCAAACTCAATGTTATTGTACATCAGAATGTATTCTACCACACAACCTAAGTTTACACTTTATTAACTGACTGGCACCTCTTGCTTGAATCAAACTTCGATTAAACTCAAATTTCACTCTTCAGTCATGCTATATACTGCATAGCTGTCAACCTTCCTTCACCAGGAGGGAGACTCCCTCATTTTGACCAAAATTTACCCTCAAAACTCCCTCATTCAAGTCCAAACTCACACAAACTCAAAACCTACAACCTGTGGTAAAATGATCCCCTAGTAACTGCAGGGTGTGTGTAATGATCATAACAGGTGTGTCTGAATCAAATGATCCCCTAGTTACTGCAGGGTGTGTGTAATGATCATAACAGGTGTGTCTGAATCAAATTAATGCTTTTTGGAGTTAATTTAATACCAGTACATGAAAAGGGAAAGATAAATTGAGCAATGCGGTTTCAGTCATGTTTCACGCACTTTCTCCCTCATTCAGGAAATGCGGATAAAAGAAGATCTAGCTCCCTCATTTGAGGTTTCAGACGTTGACACTATGAAACTGACACCCATCCTGGTGCCACTTTTTTTAGAGACAGACATGTGAAAAGGTATAATTTTGTAAGACGGCGCGTGTCCTCAACCTTGCTTAAACAAGCAGGGCTGTCTTGGTTGTGCTCTTGAAAACTCCAGATGAGATTTTTCCTTGGAATTTAGGAGTGAACCACTATAGGGGTATGTATACATTCGCGTATCCAGTTGAAACGGTTGAACTGGTTGAACCTGTAAAGAAAGCGACAGGCACAGATCTGGTAGTCGACAGATAAAAGAAGGTCATAATATTCTTGAAACACTCTTTTTATTCCCTGAAACTGTGTTTTTTTAGCTCTGCTTATAGAACGGTCCAAGTGCGTTTGTTTATCCTGGAAATTTCTGCACCACTGGTACCATTTCACCGGCGATATGGGAATGTAGCCTAGTTGTTCATTTCCGTAGTTCATTTTCATTAAACCAGTAATCTGTAGTCTTAGTCTGATTCTTATCAGAAGTGACACTTCAGAAAAAGTAACCTAACTGGACCTTACACCTATGATTTGTGTGAGACTGACCACTGACTGGACACTTGGACTGACCTGTGATAATATTGATAAGACTTTGGTTGAAGGGCATCGCTACAGACTTGATGGCCTGTCGACTCCCTAACAGATCACTCCCCAGGGACTCGGGACCTTACACCTATGATTTGTGCGAGACTGACCACTGACTGGACACTTGGACTGACCTGTGATAATATTGATAAGACTTTGGTTGAAGGGCATCGCTACAGACTTGATGGCCTGTCGACTCCCTAACAGATCACTCCCCAGGGACTCTGGAAGTCGCCATCTATTGGTGCTCCCGACGAGCTTCCTCATCCGACAGCGCGGGGTGATGGGGTGCTTAAAAACACAAAAAGGACAATTACTACATTAATGTTCACAATTTTCATTATTCTAACTTCACCTAAAATATCGACAAAACATTCTGATATTTACCTGTTTGGTAAGGCACCATGTTCATAATATACTGGATAAAAAAAATAAAAATCAAGGAAATTTAAATCAAACAGGGCAAAATAGACCATTCATCAAATTGACAAAACAGAAAAACTGACGTGAAATCACTGATTTTCGTGGGCTTTTTAATTTCATTAATTTTGTGGGTAATCTGCATCCACGAATTCATAGATCCATGCAGTAATTACAAGTTTGATATAAAGCACTTCTACGCTTGAGCGGATATTTATAATCGATGAATTTATGTACCCACGAAATGGTGTTTTGTCGGGAAACCACGAAATTTGGGCCCCACGAATATATCTGATTTCACAGAAATTTGATTTTTCTCTGGAGTCTTCAAAACATCCAGAGCCATGTGAAGACAGATATCTGGGGATACGTGTACCGCCATAAAAGAAAAAGTATGCAGATGTATATGTCAGAGAAAAGAAATAATATTAAGAATAAAATGATTGAAATATTCATCAACTGGACAAAAAAAGAAAAACTCATTAAAATTTCAATCATTCTCATTAAAATATCAATCATTCTCATTAGAATATCAATCATTCTCATTAAAAAATCAATATTTTTTTGAAAATAAAAGGAGACTCTTTATCCTTTTTTATTTCCATTTCGGAATTGGTTGGCTGTTTAACTAAACCCATTTCTAAAAGCCTCTGTCCGTCCGATCCATCAATACTTAATCCAAACCTTGACAGGATTACCGAGGCCATTTAACTGTCGTGTGACATCCTTCATACCAATTTCGGTTTTAAAAGCTGGGAGCTCCCAATCTAATAGAATTCATTTTAATTTAATAACAGCTTTTTAGGAGCCTCGTTTTCAAATGAAAAAAATCACTTTCAAAAAATCTATGAATTTATCAAACATTGTTGTACCATGTTCGACAAAAACCATCCAAGTTTTCCAGAAAAATAAATATATATTGAATGACCAGTGAAAATAACATGGAATAAAGTCAGGTTTTTATGTCTTAATTGATTGTCAATCTAAACAAAACTCAAAATACAGGTCTCCAGATATTTACGAGTCGTATTAGGAATAGGGCCTGTGGCTTTAGAATTGGCAAAACTCGGGTGTTGTGGTAAAAGCAAATTGGAATATTTGTAATTATACAAAAGTATCATTTAAAACACTAAAACATTCTTATTTATGAAAGATAATTTCATTGTTGCTGGTGCATTGTCATCTAAATACAAACATTACAAGCACATGTGCATCATTTAACAGTGGCGGATCCAGAGACCTATCTTGTGGGGGGGGGAGGGGTCTAAATGTCCAGGGGGGTTTCCATGTGGAGAAAAATTGAGGAAAATGGTGAAAATACACGATTTACACGAAGAAGATTATCAGGGTTGGGGGGGTTTCCTGAACCCCCCCCCCCCCAAAAAAAACCTGGATCTGCCAGTGCATTACAGTAAATTCAGCAATAGGTTTTGATAACTATGATTATTTTTCCTAATTTTTATCTATGTGTTTACGTTGTTGTGAAATTGCATTCCATTGTTTTGCCCGATTTCTTTGTTACATTGAATCTGTTCATTTTGAAATTACTCTATCAGGCTGCATGTCATGAAATTTGTATAATTTATTCAAATGCAGATCCGTTTCACAGTTTACACGATTTCTTTTCTAGCTAACACCCCCATTATCCCCCACCCCTTCCTTCTCCCGTTCCCCATAAACATATATGTACATTATTTTTACCATATGTATTGAGGAGAAGACTAAATTAAGTTGAAATAACCTATCATCCAATCAATTTGTATCTTTACACAATAAAATATGTTTAAACTAACTAATACAAGCTGAAAATCGTTAAAAAAAAAAATGAGATTGGGAAATTTTAAAGGGAGGGTCAGCATTCTTCAATTGAAATGGGCCTGAAATTTGACAGAAAATCCCTGACGAATATAACATAACCCAGGAAGTAACTGACACATCATTATAAGATGGATATCGGGCAGACATGATGGAGGAGAAGTGTGACCTACTGCCCTATACAACACCGCCTACATTTACACTTGACAAACTAGTTTAAACACAATGAATATAGCCTGATGGCTAACTCATCAAATGTCAAATAGGATTTTCAGCAGCCCTACATGTGCAGGGGGGACATAACCGACAGCCATTCCTAGAACAGTTAATTTTAATCTCTAAACTGTAAATATGGCTTATCCCGTAAAAGGAGTGCTGCTTTCAAGATGATTAAATTGAACTCCTACTGACGAAAAAGCCAGTGGGATTTAATGAAGTATGTTTTATTACATGTCTTGAAACTCTATCTGTATTAAACTATGTGTTCATTAAGAGGGCGTTATACGGATTGGAACAGAAACCCATAATGTGACCAAGAGGCATTGCAGGGACAGACAACGTCACATAAGAGCACAGGGAGTGTGGTCGGGAACCATCACAAGTGGATAATTAAAACGGATACAGAAGACAGATGATTAGGACAAAAAAACATAGCATTGCACACCTACACACTACACTCTGAATCAAAGTCATTTCCATGTTACGAGAAAAATCAACTGAAATCAGTCATTTTCAGAGAAAGTCACCATTAACACATTCACCCCTGAAGACACATTTGAACCCTTCCAATTCAAAGGTTGGAGTAGTTCATTACGAAATTTCAGGGGTGAATGAGTGAAAGGTAGAACACTAATGTATGTAAAGGTTCCCCGTACCACTGCCAAAAATTGAAACGTCTTCAAAACTAATTTTTCCCACATGACTATAGCTTTGATTAATCATTTTTGAAAGAAAAGTATACCTAGTGGGACATTCATGAAAACATAATGGAGATAAAATAAACAAATTATAATCAACAAACGTGTTCTGAGCGTAGAACATTCTGTGGTCCAAACTGGGATTCGAACCCTGGACTTCAGATTGTTATACCATCACTGAAACTGATTGAGCTGCCTCAGCCCCTGCGAAATGATTATGAATAATTCATGAAAATTCATGAACAGTTCATGAAATATTCATGAATAATATTCATGAATGTTCTTGATTTGTTCATGAATATTTTCATGAAATTCATGAACTTAAAACTTCATGAATAATCTTGAGCAAAATATATTCATGAAAATTCATGAATCATGAAAGCATGTGAAAATCATGAATATAAATTCATGAATATTCATGAATGTAAAATCATGAACTTTCATGAATATAAAATCATGAATATTCATGAATATATGAATTCATGAACATTCATGAAAAATGGCAACAATTCATGAATGTTCATGAATGTTCATGAAGAAAACGTCCCATTTTAAGTTCATGAATTGAAAATGCTTGAAATATTCATGAACATTCATGAACATGTACAAATTACCACATTTCATGAACTTTCATGAAAGTTCATGAAAGTCTAATACCATATGAAAATAAACAATGGAATTCCACTTGGATACCAGAGGAAATACCACTGGATTCCACCAGCAATTTGACCTGGAATTTGTGGCCAAATTGCCCAGTGGATTCCAGTGGTATTTCCACTGAAATACCTAGCCAGTGGTCACTGAAATTCAAATTGGAATCACTTATATGAAGATAACAATAATAATGGACATTCAATAGATTCTGAATTTACAGTTATGACGGTATATATAATCATTCATGCTGTGTTTAAAGTTAGAAATAATGCAAGTAACGTCACAAATATCTTTTAAACATGAAAAAATGACAGTTGAATAACATATATATTTGCAAAAGTTTTTACTGCTACATATTTAGCATTGTTAAATATGAAATATGGATGCATGGTTCACATATGGTCTGTGTGGTTTCAAGAATATGATACAGCTGACATTATTAGGTTAGAGTTGTAGAATACAGGTTTCCCAAAACTCTTGAAATTTATCTGTATTGTATATGCAAATACATGCTGGTTTCCTCGTTGTAGAACTTGCACACTTTTTACCCGGTCTACTTATTGCGAGTCTATCCATTCTCCATGTAACAATTGATGGTGTTTGAAGTTCGAAATGTTCGTCTTCTATTTCGTCTAAATCACTGAGTTTGTTCAAAGCTTTTTAAACAAATTTGGAATTAGGATCGGAAATAATAATTCCTTCACCATTAAGTTTTTGTTTTGTCAGTAACAAACACTTTATTTCCAATTGCAAGCTCCACACTGTACGTTCCAATTATTACTGTTGTCATTTTTCTTGGTAGAACTTCTTTTGCCTAAACTTTTATCTAAAAGATATTCTCTTTTGTTTTGCAAAATTATTCCTAGTATTTGCCATACCTCTTTGTATGTCTGCTTAATTGAGGTGTCACTGATAATACATTTTTAAAAAACCGTTGTTATTTTCCAAGAATATTTGGTGCAAGGGGAGATCTTTTTTTAAAATATTGCCAGTACGTGTCTGCCGCATCTTGCATGAGATTGCTGAAAAACTGTTGTGGTGCTTTAGGTATTCCTCTTTTATCCTTTTTCAATAGCAAATCTTTCGCTGTATATCTTGGGACATTTTACACATCACTGTCATCCTGCAGGCTGGTGTTATCTTCTTAGCTTGTACACATATGCTTTAATTATCATTTGAAGATCTTGCACTAAAGCTTACATCTTCAGGTTCTGGCTGCTAATAATACTGCCTGTTTGTGTCGATGTCAGCAAAGCATGACGACTCTGTATCTGGCACACTTCAAAACGATCCATCAAGCAATCGAATGCATCTCTGATGTCCGCGTCAGTAAATTTTAGGAGTAATCCCATTTTCTGAATAAGAAAAAAGTTAATAATTTTTCATTTATCTTATAAAATACTGTAGAAATTAGTATATAGGCCTACCTGTATTTTCAAGCCCCTGTACATCAACCTTATTTTTTTTGGGGGGGGGGCTTTGATA